TTCAAATCTTTGGGAGTTGGAGCTTCTCCAAGGTTTTGCGTTGCACTGTCTGTGAAGGCCCAATCATGCTCCGACCTGAACAGAGCGAACTCAACCTGCCCTAGGTCCAGTAGCTCAGCATGCAGGTTTTCCGCACGATTTTGCTGAGGGTGTGGGGTTGCGGCTTGGGGGTCACAAGAGGGCGTTGGCACTTTGCTTCTAGGCGACTCGAAGGCAACTGAAGACATAAGCATCAGCATCTGACGGCCAAGAGTCCACAATAAATCTGTCAACGAGCTTGCCATCTTAATGCCTCAATCCCAAAGCCCTGCAAGACTCCCAATCCATCCAAACCCGACCAAAACCAGCAGCCAGTCCAAACGCAGGCTGCAAAACCAAACAGACCCCAAACAAAGTCCTCCGGGTCTGCATCCTTGAGCAGCTGAAAGAGCTCCTGTTGCAAAACTCAGGCGTGATGGCGGTTGCAGCCATACGGTTTCTGAGTCGCATGCTACCCAAGCCCGAAGCAAACGGTTGCAGGGCTTTGGCTTTCATGGCTAGGACGATTTCATTCCTGATTGAGTTTGAGGGTAGAGGCATCCGACGCATCGGGGGTAGAGTTGTGATTTAGGTCTCACGGGTCTTTGCGGTACTACTGTGGTCTGAAGACGTGGCTGTAGGTGTCCAGCTTCCCTACAAGCCACTGTTTCCTGCAAGCAAAATCTCAACCCGAAAACCATGACGATATCTGTAGCCCCAACCCTATAACACTGAGCCCCAAACCTGGATGGAGATCTTCCCGCTGGAATCCCGGTCGAGAGCCCGAAAGACCTGCTCAGCTAAGGATGCTGTGTCCTGGGTCTAGGGTTTCAGGCGTAGGGTGTGGGGCTTGTGTAGCAAGAGAGGAGGCGTTGCAGGTTTGTTTGCTGAAGGCTTCCGGACTTTTTTGTTGGATCCAGATTGTAGATCGTTGTGAAAGCTTCCAAGATCTGGCTTTGGCAACTCTAGACCTCCGGCTTCGGGTTTGGAATGTTGTTGAGGTTCAGGGTTCAAGGCTTAACAGGAGCCCCAGGTCACTTCTTGCATCCTGGAATCCTCACCCGAGTTAAACCTTTCAAATCAAGGTACTACGCTCTTACGCGCCAGTCTGAGGTGCAGGTGCCAAAGTCGACCAAGAACCATATCACCTTGGACCACCCCTGCCCCACCCCCAACTTGCCAAATTCTCGAAGCCTCAGCTCCTAAACTCAAAGTCCAAACTGACACCCCGCGGCCTGCAAGCACAAATCCTCCCGGAAAAGGATCTTCCGGTCGATGGCTGCTGCCATGAACTCACCTCAAGAAAGGCTTCTGCCGCACACGGTGATGAGGTGTCAGGGGTCATGTTCCTCAAACACAACAACTAACTACTACTACTACTACTACTACTACTACTACTGCTGCTACTGCTGCTACTGCTACTACTACTGCCAGCTACCACTACTCCTCCTCCTCCTCATCCTCCTCCTCCTCCTCCGGCTGCTACTGCTACTGATGCTGCCACTGCTACTGCCACCTCCACTGCTATGACGACGACGACAACGACGACAACGACGACTAGTACTAGTACTAGTACTAGTACTAGTACTAGTACTAGTACTAGTACTAGTACTAGTACTAGTACTAGTACTAGTAGTAGTAGTAGTAGTACTACTACTACTACTACTACTACTACTACTACTACTACTACTACTAGTACTAGTACTACTACTACTACTACTACTACTACTACTACTACTGCTACTACTACTACTACTACTACTACTGCTGCTACTACTACTACTACTACTACTACTACTACTACTACTACTACTACTACTACTACTACTACTACTACTACTATCGGTTTCTGAGTCTAGCCTTCTAGCCTTCGGGCATACATATAGGCCTTTTGGCAAAACATGTTGCCAGCAACGAATCCATTGACTTCTGGAGTGTCAGGACTAGCCATCACGGAGTGGACCCACGATGGTAGAAATTCTGATCCTTCTTCGTGTCTATGCTGTGATGGCACAACAAAAAACGTCTAAGAAGTCTATGCATACATAAGACACCATGAGATCATGCAGCAAAAGTTTTGTGATCAACCAGCCAAATGAAGCGAAAACCGTGTAGCACCAGTTTAACGGCATATCTTTGATTCCGAGGTGTGGTCGGGTCCTGCTTGCTTCTATCAAGGTGGACATGCTTGTTGCTCCAGGTGTGCTGCCACCTTCGGTCTGGCTGGCCCGATGTGGATTTGGCGTGCTTTGATTCTTGAACTTGAAACAGAGACTTTACATGCTAAACCTGCTAACAACTTCTCAGAGCAGCTGGATGGCTTTAGACGGTTTACAATTCGCAGCGGCTTAGATTTTACCATCGCTTTCTTTGGGCTACGCCACGGATGGATTTAGGGGGGGAATAGGGGCTTCGGGCCTAGGGTTTTCTTTACAGTCGGGGTGCGAGCTGTTTGATGACTGATTGGAACGAAGGCTGTCCCAACGTTCGTATTCAGCTTTTTCGAAAGAGAATGGATGTTGATGGTCAACAACCGGCTGCGGTGACTTCTACTGCAGTTGGAGACCCTGGCCCCAACAGCGAATCCAGAACTCCCGGAACAAAAGATCCTCAAACACTGGTCTCAGCAAGATCGCTGTAGTCGATCGCGCCACTGCCGTCGGCATCCAATGCCTGGTGGCGCGATTAGAAACACAAGTTCTTATTTCTGCAACATTCGCCGGATGTGTCGTGTGATCCACTACCTGACAGAGCACCCAATCCAGGCAAGTTCCTTGGTATAGGTAGAATCGAACGGTGCTAAGCTACATGTGATGTGCCGGAAACATCTTTGAGGGGAGTGAAAGCATGTATCCGCTGTCTAAAGTCATGATTCTGTTTATTTTATCATGCAACAAGCAATAATTCCCGCAACCTACATAAAGAACGTGTTGGGGTTTCCCACTGAAAACCTCAAAGGTCTAACAAGCAACCACAAAGTCCGTGCCCAGCCAGTCAAGACCCCAGGGTCGGGCTCCGCGTGAACTTGTTTGCTACGTTGCACTACAAGCCGTCTGCGACCGGACGGGCTTCAGGCAGCGTAGCTCGACATCAATGTGTCTCCGCAGTCTGGATCGTAAATGCTCGGTCAGTCGTTTTAACTTCTCCTGGATCGGGCATCCTTGATTCGTGCGAACCTTCCTGGTTCTACACAGTGTGGCTGCGGCGCATACGTGCTGCTCTTGCAATCAAGAGATCAACAATCGTCGGCTACTTTCGGAAGGCAAGATAGATGCTGGGGGAGTAGCGGGTGGGTGTCGACAATTTCTGAATCTGCTCCCATGCCTCGTATAGCTGCGGTACTCGGATCGTCCGCAGAATCATATACGCATCAGGTTCCAGGTTGCATCTGGACACTATGCTGCTTCATTGCAATTCTCGGGATCTCATGTGCTCGGATGTGCTCGGTCACTCGGTTCTTTCTCCTGGTTGAAGGTGTATGGTCGACGGGTCCGGGCTACCTCCGTGCTTCCGAGCTGTGTGCACTCATGAGCATTCCCAGAACCTCGGCCATCTCAAGTGCATTTTCAGGCATCTAAAGCCGAAACACAGAACGGCCCACGTCCACCGACCTAACAACGGCTCCGGGGCGATTCTTGTAGCATCTCTGACAATGAAGAGACGAGGCCGGTGGCCGGCCCAAATAAACCATAATCAATGGGCTGCCCCTGAAGTGAACTCTGCATCGATGGCAAATGAGGGCAATTTCTTCTCCATCTTGCAGCCGAGCACGAGATCATGTAGTTGGACCCGCTTTGTCAAGTCGGTTGGGCGAAGAGCGCCCGATGCGCAGATCCCGAAAGTAGGCTCGAAGACACTATCGACAGCTTGACTGAAGTGCTTGGCTCGTCTGCAAACTGTCACTACGCATCAAGATGCACCCCAACAACTTCTAGGGCTCAAGGCGTAAGGGTTGTAAGGGCGTCGATGCTAGGATCAGCCATGCAAGCTCGGGGTTTTTGAGCTGAGTTTCTCAAACCCTGAACGCTAAACCACAAACCGAGTTGTAAACCAAGGACCCACGCTTGCCTCGAAGAGATCCGCCAAATCCCCGAAGCTGTCCTCAGTTGTCTGGCTGCATGCTCTCATGCAGGCGAATGTACTATTTTGCTGTGTCAGCATGAAGCTTCTGCAGTGCAATTGCCTGTATGCCTGCTTTTCGACCCTACCTGCAGCCATCATGAACCTATAGAAGGTCCGCCGACGACGACGGACGGTCTGACATGTTTCCGGGGGTTAGGAGCCGGCAGTGTGGACGTCACACCATGATTCGTTGTGACTAGAATGACTAGAACAGCTGCGAGAAGCCACTGTTTCACGAAACCATCACGATTTGCAAAACCAATCTTCAGGTCCTACCTGCCTGCCTGCATGGGAATCCAGAAGAGACGCATACCCCTAAGCAACTGCACCATGCAAGAAGCTGTTCAATCGTGCATCAAGCCTACACCAAGGACTCAACAAGAAGCTAAACAACAACGCTGCGCTTGGTGTTGGTGCGTCTTCGGTTTCTGGCTTTATAAACGTCTGGCACGTGCCGTCCAGCCAAGCTAGGCGAGCATCTTTTTTGAGGTCCTTCGAATCCTTGCTCACTTTCGAGAAGCTGAATCGGAATTCCTGCGTTGGCAGTGCAACAGGTGCTCTGGGTTCTGGTCCAGGGCTATGGCTGCTCATGCTTCAGGGTGTGGGATGGGAAATACTTTGATGAGGTCAGGGTTCGAGGGTGCGTTTCAGGATACGTCATACACACGAACAATCGCAGCGATGCATTGCCTGAAGAAGACTTTCAAGATCAGGCTAGTTCATCTGTCCTTTCCCTTCTACCGAAAGGTTTCAATATATTCATGGTCTCGTGTTCACGGGCGTATCGACCAGTATTTGCCAACCGTCGTCTACATAGTTTAGGGCAAGCAGGATCGGGCTTGCTTGTGGGCCAGGAGCTCCTCCAAGGACAAGGAACCGTCGCCGTTGGTGTCGCTGGCCTTCCAGTGAGCGTGCTTTGGTTCCGAAGTGTGATGTCACAGTAGTCCACACTCAGGAGTTTTGGGTGCATTTGAGTGCTGTACGCATGTAAACTGGAGAGCCACATTCTGTAAGCTTACAAACCGGAACGTACCACTTGGGCATCGGTCTGCTGGAAGCTCACGGTAAGTTCGATCCCTTGGCATCCAGTTGGGCTTGTAGCATGCGTATTCTGTAACAAGTTCTGGCCCGGCTTAAGGCTAGCAGTGAAAGCAGACGACGCCGTGGGAACGTAGTAGCTTGGTCCTGCAGCTATGCATGCGGATCATTCTCTGCTATATGCTAACCCCCGTCAAAAATATTGGAAAAATGATCTGGTGGTGGTGCTCTCCTGGTGTTGTGGGTACTGATGCTGCTAGTGCTAGTGTTGGTGTTGATGTTGTTGCCGGTGGTGGTGTTGCTGATGCTATTATTATTGTTAGATATTGTTAGTGTTGCTGTTGTTGTTGCTGCCGTCGTCGTCGTTGTTGTTGTTGTTCTTCTTGTTGTTGCTCCTGCTGCGCTGTTACTAATGCTGTTGCTATTGCTATTGCTCTTGTTGCTGCTATTGCTGTTGGTGTTGGTATCATCGTTGTCGTTGTTGTTGTCGTTGTTGTTGCTCTTGTTGTTGTTGTTGTTGTTGCCGCTGCTGGTGCTGTTGCTGTTGCGGCTGCGGTTGTTGTTGTTGTTGTTGTTGTTGTTGTTGTTGTTGTTGCTGCTGCTGCTGCTGCTGCTGTTGCTGGTGTTGTCGACGTCGTCGTTGTTGTTGCTGTTGCTGTTGATGTTGCTGCCGCATGCTGTTGCATTGCTGTTGCATTGCCCTTGCGATTGCTGTTGCTGTTGTTGTTGTTGCTGCTGCTGTTGTTGTTGTTGCTGCTGCTGCTGCTGCTGTGGCTGATGCGCTGCTGTTGTGCTGACAAGCTGCCGCCGCTGTCGTTGTTGCTGTAATCGTCCTTCTTATCGTGCTTTTTGTGTTGTTCATTGTTGTTGATCCGGTTGTTCTTGTTCCCTCCCCTTTTTGCAATGGTATGGTGGTAAGCGTTCTCATACCACCTGAGTCTGATAAGAGCCAATTCCATGCCTCTGGGTGGGTATTGTCTGCCGTCGGCATGTTTCAGGGACAAAACTATTTAGTGCCGCTTGGGTCCAGCGCATGCTCATGGTTTACGACTCCAGGGCATCGGGGGTCTTGAGCGGCCTTGAAGGCATCGTAGATCTCTGGCAGGTCGTTGGCACCCAGGTGCCGCGCGACAACCATCAAGAGGATCCTAACCGCATCAGGGCTGCATACGAACAGGTGAGTATCCGGGCTCAAGCACGCGAGTATTCAGGGTTTCAAATGGACGTTAACCCTGCAACCACAACTAAAACATCGAGTGATGCATTCCTGAGCTAAATTCGACGAGTGCCACGGCGGACTACTTATGGCAGTCGAAATGCAAGATCCTTTTTGCAGTTCAGACCCCGAGCTATTGAATGTACCCGTTTCACGACAGGAAAAACCGATGCGACAAAGCCAAAGCCCTGAACGCCTTCTTGTCCTATGCTACATCGCTAGTGCCTATAGACGCGAAACCACGGAGTGGCAGCTGCCTTCGGAAGTAGGACATGCTTTGGTAGCGTTTCAGGCGCGCGGCCACCTGATCCGGGGACGTTTGGGAGCTCTTCAGGTTCTTAATCTTGGAGCAGCTTTCCGCTTCAAGGCGCGGCCGTCAAGGTCACAGTCACTGTTGGCATGGGGAGATGTCACTGGGTTTGGTGGCAGTGACCTCCCCCCGGCAAGTTCCCGACACCCTGAATACTCTGCTCCCGCAGTGGGGAGATAAGGTCTTTTTGGAGGGTTGTGGAGGTCGAGCTGAAGGGATAAGCTCTTTACAAGGCTGGGGGGTTGCGGCATCCTAGCCCTGTAAAGGGCAACGAGCTTGCTTGTCAGCAGGGTGTACGGTAGTAATGCGATAGTACACACACAGTTCAGTAGTAGTACATCAGCAATACAGTACTAGTGCAGTAACATTGCGGTACTACAGAAGTAATACAGCAACAGTAGCACAGCAGCATTACCGTAGTGGTACATCAGTGGTACAGTAGTAGCCCAGAAATGGTACAGTAGTACAGTAGCAGCAGTCTTCCAGCAATAGTACAGTACCAGGGCATCCGGGGTACCTGGAGATGCTTGGGGGGCGAAGACAGAAAGAGCTTCATTTTGAAGACTTGTCACTTCATCCCGCACTCCTCCCAACAATCGACCAAGCCTGAGAATGTAGTACAGTGGTAACACAGAAGAAGTACAGTACGACGGTTTAAAAGTACGTAGAACCGTGTAGGGTGCGTAGAGGAACCAAAATCTATAGCAACTAAACCTCGACCACTCCAAGACAACTACAAGGACTTAAAGCTCTTCGTTTTGAAGACTTGTCCTTGATCCACCAGCCTGAGGCCCTCCAATTTGAGCTTACTCCGGCCTCTCGCCATCCTCCACTCATTTCAGACTGACCATTACTAAAAGCAAAAATGAAAACATCGCCGGACGAAAGTCTTGGCGCACTGTAGACGGGCGGCCAACAAAACTGCATGTCCAGACTAAACCACAGGAAACATGCACTAAAGATGGTCACCGACATAAAACTAGGGCAATATCAGAACTTGGGGTGCGGCATTACACACAATGTAATTAGACCATAAAGAGGCCCAAAAGACTGTTGAGGTGCAGGTATCAGGAACGGCTGCTTAATTCAGGATGTTGCGCTGTAGGTCGTTCAACTTACGATCTCAGGGTGCAGCAGAACTTTCTCAATCGGCATGCTTTCGTTTGTTTGGACACGTCAACGGGATTTGTGCTGGCAGTTTCGCTGCCTCCGGACTAGTTCTACCTCAAGCAAGCGCTTCGGACATGTTCGTGGCAGTTTCCTTGCATCAAAGACGCTTCAAAGTCACGAAACACGGCGGATCGTTTCGTGACAGTCTCGTTGCAGCCAGATGCAGCTTGGCACAATACAGCCGGCTTTGTTTGCGACAGTTTCGTTGCAGCACCGTTGCACCCGGGACGTTCCCGATTTCATCAAGGGCAAAAGCCTTTTCTCGTGACAGTCTCATTAGCCCAGGACGAAACAGAAACGGTCGTGTTCGATCAACTTGTAACCAGTGTTTTCATTCCGAGACTCCCACGCAGCTTCGAATTGACAACATCCATTGTGTAGTCAACATGAAAGCCCGAAAGCAGGTTTGTTAGTTTCAGTTCGTTGCGCTCAGGACGTTTCCGATTCCAAGTAGCTGCAGCCTTCCGCTGCACCCAGGACTGCGGCGGCCGCATCTCGTGACAGTCTCGGTGTGCCAAGTATGGTTCCTATTGAAGTTTCGCAGTAGTCGTGTCGTTGCAATCTCGCTGCGCCCACGACCTTTCCAGTCTGATCAAACTAAGGCAACTTTATCATGACAGTTCGTTGTGCACAGCAGATTCCTGATTTGATTGGTAAATGAACGGAGGTTTATCGCGAAGATTTAGATGCCCCTTCTGTTTCCGGGTACGTCTCGTTACGGTTTCGCTGTGCCCAGGAAACTTACTGTTGAATGGATCAAACGCATCGGATTGTGTTCGTTACTGCTTTCCTTGCACCCAAACCGTTTGCCATATAAATCAAACGCACTGGATCTGTTTCGCGACAGTACCGTTGCGCTCAGGATGGATGTATCCAACTTGATCGAGAACAGCGGAGCATTCCGAAGATATGCGGCGCCCAGCATTACGGGACGCTTCCACGGTGCCCCGGATTCTTAGCGTGACAGTTTCATCGCGCCCTCGATGTTTCCGGTTTGATTCGGTATTTCATTCCAGTTTCGCTGCAACAGCTGGATGTTCTCAACTTGCCTACGATGTTTCCAATTTGATCAGAGGCAGCAGACTCGTTCGTGACACTTCCCTCGCTTGAGCATGTCGGTCCAAGTGTAGACTGCATGGTCGGGGCTTCAACAACTTCTTACGGGGAAGTGGGCGTTCCGGTTCCATACAGACAGAGATATCGCCAACAGAAGCCGCAGTAAGTCTAGGCTGTGAAGGAATTGGGATTGAGTGGCTTGGGGTCTCCCTCAACTTCATACGGTGGTTCCGAATCTTGAAGATTCAACCTGTTAGCAACATTTCAGTCTAAGATTTCTGCTAATCGCAAGCCTCTCGCAAGTCCAAGTGGAACAAGAAGCTAAGACACATTCGGCCCGGAACCGTGGCCTGTGCTGGCATGGCTTCGACTTCGGCGGCATCCCTGACCTGGGAAGTCCGAGACAATAACATCATGAGCGACCGAGACTTCAGAGTTTCGGGCTTTCGGCAAGGTCTGCAACTGCAGTCCATCCGCCGACTCGATGGGTCTAGCCAGCTGGCAGTGATGTCTCGTGTCAGACGCACCGGAAGCAAGCAAAAAGGCCCCAACCTTGTTCTGCATATTGCAAGTCCAGCGCTCGTCAATACGAAAGATGCAACCAACTGCGCGGTAAGATGCCAAATGCCCAACCTCCTGCAATCCTACAGCTTCCAAAGGAAGCATCCCGACTTCCACATGTCCACATGTCCACATGACATGAACAGCCACGGAGACGGCGCTGAACCCCGCTCAAGCCCAGGCCCTGGCTTCCTAGGCCCTCATTCCAAGTAGCCCAGGGGTCCGCCAGAACCTCCTCCGCGGAGAGGCGCTGCGCAGGATCTGGCACCAGCAGGCGACCAATAAGCTCCTGAAGGCCACTTGCCGACAGCGCTCTGTTTCGTCTGTGTCCCTGTCTCTCTCCATAGCGCATGTGTACGTACGTAGAAATAAACACCTGCAAACACACACACACACACATATATATATATATATATATATATATATATATACATACATACATGTTATATAGATAATATGTTTACACACTCGTTTATTTACATATATACATATATGTCTACTACCCCCTCCTCCGCTGCCCATGTTTTCGTCTGTATGGTGATGCTTTGCTTAAGTGGGCCGAGGGATGGGGCGTTTCGCAAACATGAGTCGATCCCATTGCTCGCGAGGAACCGACGTTCAGTAGTGAGCGAGTGTACCAAAACTGCGCGGGAATGGCGAATTACTACTGAAGCAAACTGAGACCACAAGCTTCGAACGGTATGGCATCAGTCTGTAGCATCCCCTGGCCGCCCACACAGATTTCGCATCAAGTTAGATAGTAGCTATGTTCACTTGGCTGTCGTTATCGTTTCTACACAACCGTTCATACACAACAATGTCAGTGTTGTTGGTGGGTTTTGCTGTCTGTGTTCATTGCTTTATACGAATGAATCGTAGTGTCAGATTGTGTCATTATCCCTGTCAAAGTCTTCGCACCATTGCACACTGATTCATGCGTACCTGTCGTTAAAAAACACTTCGTAGCATTTCATGATGTCACAACAGATACTTGCAGGTTCCGCCCTTTTTATTGGAAGTGTAGTCTTCGTTGCCTGAGGAATCCGATATCCGTGTTCTCTCAGTCATGCCTAAAGCGCTACAAAATCTGTTCTTCAATGGCAAGCTCAAATTATCAAGTGTGCCTTCGTATTACGTCTAGCAATGTTGTGGTCGCATCTTTTTGCCATTGCCATTGTTCAAATTAGTGTGGTTATTTCGCTTCATCAGTACTCACCCAATCAACACTATGTTTCTCTCGGTTTCGTATCATTTGTGGAGCAAGCTTTGCTATGTCAATGACTGTTGTGATTATTCATTCAAAGTACAGGAACCTTGTTTAGAAATAACCAAGGATAATAAAGTGAGTGCATTGCTTGCTGAGTCTTGTGTTTAATTATACATTGTGACAAGCATGAACGTAGCAGTCAATACCGAGTCAATACCACTGCAATATTCACACCTGTGCTTGTAAAACCTCTTGGCAAGATGATGGTTAATCAAGTAAAGTATTTGCTTGTTTTTAAGCTGCTGAGAGTGGTTTGTTAGCGTTCCATTTCAAACATAATCTAACATGCCGCGCGCCGATAATGGCGCTCAGCATCCCTCCGACGAAACAGTGCTGCATGGATACACAGACACACGCATATGTATATACATATATATATATATATATGTATATATACATACACATATACATATACACATACATACATATATATATATATACACATTGTACTATGTACGCCACGTATATAGATATAGATATAGATATAGATATTGATATAGATATAGATACAGACAAAGATATAGATACAGACATAGATATAGATACAGATATAAGCATGGGTATGGATACGGACATATATACATAGAAATAGACATAGGTGAATAGAAATGAACATATAGTGTGTACGTATATGCATACGGGTATGGATATCCATGTGTTGTATACATACACACGCCTGTGTAAATGTACATATGTGTATATGTATATACATATATATGTATTACATATATTGTGTGTATGCAGATATGTATGTATGTATGTTCCTTTGTATGTATGAACGCATGCATGTATGTATGCATGTGTTGTATGTGTCACATGTATGTATACATCTGATAACATCTGAACATAAATGCACACTTACATTTATGTAGATATTATGTATATAGATGTACATAGTGTATATGTATATATGCCCACGCAGGTACATAATATACATATGCAGTTACACACATGTACATACGCACATACAGACGTACAAACACACATACACACTCCCACATAAATAAATACATGTACATAGCTGTGTACATGTACATATGTATATATGTCTATATAAGGATGTAGGGCAATATGGGATGACGCATGCACGCGATACACACATATGAATGCCCAGGTCTACGTGTCTAAAACAAACACACACGCACACACACACACACACACACGCTCAGACACATGCACGTGTATATGTGCATCATTCTATCTTCGCTTGCCGGCCTGCATGTTTGTCGACCTATGTCGTGATTCTCCCAGCATGTTCGGTGAACAGGTCGGCAGACAATCACAAAGACAGAAAGACTCCACCGAAACAAAAGAACAAACGTACAGGTATTGCCTGGGCTCTTCATGGTCTTCGCAGGTTGTCAGTCTGAGCTGCGGCGCCCCCAGGCCCAGAGTGGTTTCAGCAGTCAGCTTTTAGTCACGATTTTGTTCCGAAGGTCTCTGGGTGCTGGGCTGTTTGAGTATAGCGTTCTTTCTGATCTTTTAGAGGTCGACGGCTTGACCACCACAGCTTCCGTGGTTGCGAAACAAACACTTCTCGCTGCAAGTGTTGCCGTGCCTGAGCTTTGAGCAGCTGATACACTGACTCTGGAGCTTGAGGCTTGTTTAGAGTTCTGGGTCCGGTCAAACGCAGCCAAAGCCGTCCTTCGCCTCCGGAGACACTGCGTCCCAGGTCTCGCCGGACATTGTGAACGTGCCAGTCCTGCTCACTGGGGGTGGGCACTGAAACAGCTCCATGCACGAACTCCTCACAGTCCAGCAAAAACAGCCCCCAGCACCACCACCAGAGAAGGGTAACTTCAAGAAGACGTGCGTATGCGAGGCTCATGTCGCACGCCGCATCGACGCAAGCGACGGCGTTGCGCACAGCTACAAGGAGTATTCTGCTCACTGCTGCTACGAGTGCTGCTGATACACCAGCTCGTACTCCTACTCCTACTGCCACTACTGCCACTACTACCACTACTACGACGACGACTACTACTACTACGACTACTGCTGCTGCTGCTACTGCTACTACTACTACTACTACCACTACTACTACTACTACTACTACTACTACTACTACTACTACTACTACTACTACTACTACTACTACTACTACTACTACTACTAGTACTACTAGTCCTACTCCTGCTGCTACTGCCACTGCTACTACGACGACTACGTGACTGCGATTATGTGATGATGGTGAGATGATGATGATGATGATGATGATGATGACCAGACTCTTTCACACCCAAAATCCCTGAACTGTTGACAAGAAAGGGCTGATGACACCCTCGTCGTGGATGCGTGTGGGTCTAAACTGCTCGTACTGCGCTAGGATGCCACCTGCATCCCTGTGATTCTTTGAGGATCAGTCGACACCTGGTCTAGAGTCTAGAATAAACCGCAGGATAAGCCCGTGTCGGCAGCCACAAGACGAGGTCAGTGTTATCCTACGAGTACTGCTGGGCTTGGGGCGGAGATGCCTGGCATCCGAAGCTGACTTGAAGGGCATCGCGCCGCTGAGCATCGCATAGAGCAGAACTCCCAAAGACCACATATCCTGCGCAGCTGTTGCAGCTTCCTGGCTTCTGCATCTCCCTTGGTTTCCTCTGTCTCACCTACAGAGCTTAGGATCAACATCTAACCGATCTATTTCCACTGCTGTATAACATCACTATTTCGATAAGACTGCCCCTTTCCACACAGTCCAGATACGTCAACCCCATTGCTACGCATCACAAGAAACCGTTTACTTCCGTCAGCGCTTTTTGAGGTCATCTGCTTCTTCCCGCGATAGTGTTGTCTTCTTGCACTGCGGAGAAGTACTTAAGTACTCCTGATGGGCTCAACTGCTCGGTCCAAGCTTCATGCAGGGTTCAGTGAAAAGATCGATCTTACCGCTAAGCACCTGGGACTGGAAAATGCAGAATTTCAACACACCGCTGTTCGAGCTCGAGGATCACAGCCCAGGATCTGGAATTCAGCCATGATTACTCTCAACTCCCAGCGATGTTTGGTAATTCCCTTCCCTCGAAGTCACAGATCTGAAAACGCAACCGTCCGAAGAATCGGAATTCCCTCCCTGGGTCCCCTCGACTCGTGCAAATTTCGCAGACGGGTTAGTCTGCCCACAGAACAATGAACTCGAACAAGATCGCGCAAGTAAAGTGTAACATGTTTAGAGAAGATATTATTATTTCAGATTCAGCGATTCAGCACGTAGGGAGTACAAGACTATGCAGGTGCCGACAACTTCCGCTCTTGTATTCGACGGTCCCTGGGGCATCCCACATAAATTTACTGTTGCGATCTGGCGGCACACTTCTCGGAGTAATTCTCCGACCTTGTACTGCGTTTTGAGAGAGCTGGGGCTTCTGGCTTATGTTCCTCGAGTCAGGTTTCGATTCAAGGCGAGCATGCTTCTGAACCTCGTGCCTGTGCCTTCCGTGTCGCTACTCCCCCCACGCATGTGAGAAACCTTTGCTACCTTCATGTAATTTTACACATACATACGCGATCTTCTGATACGTATATACTGTATGCTACATACTATATACATATGCGCACACATAAGTATTGTGAATAACCAGTATGTATGTTCATGCACATGGGCTTGTAGCATGTATGCGTGCGCTTTGCGGACGGACAGTATAGATGTGTATGCCAGTGTGTGCTCCATGGCACACAGGCCTCACGACTTACATGCACACAGCAGTAAACAGAAAGTCTCGACATCGGCACAGTCTTCAAGTGACCTGTCGCTGACCATGTCCCAATCAGCCAACCCAGAGCATCACGACCCCTCTGAGCTATAACACTCTATGTAAAGGCGGGAAGCATCTAGATTCAGATCCCAAAGCCTCAAAGAGGAAAGCAAACATGACCAGAATCACGACTGCAGCCGAAGAGCTGCACCTCAGGCGCCTCGTAGGCCTGATCTTGGGGTGCCGGGAATCAGGTTTCGAGGTTTAGAACCTCTAAAGCTGGGAGGGTTCAGGACGACGGGTTCAATTTTGCGCTTCGGACCTCGCAGGCATCAATCGGGGACCACGATGAAACCCGATAGCTCAACCCATAAAGCTTGCACAACTTCGGCACTTGCCAGGGATCCTTGTATTGCAAAAAAACAGCTGCACTTTGAATCCTAAACGGTGGTCCGGAGTTCGAGCTTGCCGCTTAATTAGCTGGCTACGGATGCGTCCATAAAACTAACCCTGCAATTCCAAAGATCCTGTAGCCGTCTACAACATGGCCTCACACATCCGTTCCACATGCTGGTGCCGTTGCAGCGCCTCGGTGCCGCCCCGGCTGCGGAGCTTCGCCGTCTGCTTGAAATGGCAAGCAATGCCTGGAGCATCAGGTTTGAGGATCTAAGGTGTCGGGCTGTAGATTGTACTTTAGAAACTACGGTCTACGCTTTGTAAGAGCATTACATACATACATACATACATACATCCGTACATACATACATACATACATACATTCATACATACATACATACACAGCCAGCAGGTGCGAAGGCTGGTAACAGCAGTAGCCGACGATTTTCGGTTGGACTAGCAGCGTCCTCGTCAACGAAGCCCTCAAATCAAACCATTTCTCCGTCAACGCTCATCGGATCAACCTCAAACACTGTACCCGGGCTCCAAACGCAAACACAGTGGTGCAGTGCTTTCTGGTCCAAGGAGGCTAGAGTTGGGGCGCGCTTCACGGGTGTGACATTAAGCCGACAGATTGCTTGCTCCAGTACAGGATGTGGAGATCGCGGTTGTCTTTGGATCTGCGGCGGACCAAGTCTGGATGCGGGGTCATGGGCTTTAGAATAACAAGGGAAAGCCAGCAGCGGTACTCGGGTTGTCACTAAGCCATTTGGCTATGCCTTAACTATGACAGGAACTTTCATCCGGTGTTAAAGTTAAAATCCATCGACACTCTCTTAAAGTTTGAGCCCAACATCCAAAACAGTAAACACTAAGCTCCAAAACGCAGAACCCCAAACGACAACAATTACACAGGCTCCGCAGCCTAAGCGGGTTGTGCACAGGCAGTGTGAAGTGTCTCGGAAGTTGAGGTCTGCACCGAAGTCGATCAGCTTTGCTGGTGCTTCCTGAGGGGGTTTGGCAGGCCGCTTCGCCCAATCAGGTACTGCCATCCCGAACCCTGACTCGCCACGGCATTCAACAGTCTAATACGAACAGCAAGCCCGGACATTGCTGGCAGAATTATAGGGCTTACACTAATGGTGTTTTGTTACGCACGTAGATTAAATTCAAGCAGCACGCCCGCATTTGATCGGTTTCACCTGTTGTTTGCAAAACTTGTTGCGATCCACACAATTGGTTTGGCTCGTGCTGATGCTGCAAGTCGTATTCAACATGTCGAGCTCATGCATACCTTGACAATTGCTGCTACCACAACCGCAACCCCTCCCCTACGACCACGACGACGACTACACTAACTGCTTCGACCGCTACTACGACGAAACCTCATAATGCTGCTACTACTACTACTACTACTACTACTACTACTACTACTACTACTACTACTACTACTACTATTACTACTACTACGACTACTACTACTACTACTACTACTACTACTACTACTACTACTACTACTACTACTGCTGCCAATGCTATCGCCACTGCTACTGCCGCTACCACCGCCATCACCATAACCATCGCCATCACCATCGCCATCACCATCACCATCACCAGCACCAGCAACTACGACAACGACTGCCGCTGCGACTACTGCTGCTGCTACTACTACTACTACGACTACGACTACGACTACTACTACTACTACTGCTGCTACTACTACTACTACTACTACTACTCCTGCTACTACTCCTGCTACTACTACTACTACTACTACTACTACTACTACTACTACTACTACTACTATTCCTCCCACTACGACGACGACGACGACGACGACTACTACTACTACTACTACTACTACTACTATGCTGCCACAACTTCGACCGCAACCACGACGACTGCGACAAGTGCTTCGGCATGCTTCGGCTACCATGACTGCTGCGACTCCTTCTGCTCTGCGCACTGGTCCAGATATGAAGGAAACATCTAAATATGGATGGCGATGGCGGCCGTGATGGTGGCGACCGTGATCGTGATGATACCTCAAAGGAAAATTCTAATCATGCTGCCGATGATGCCGACGACGACAAGGAAGAGACCGATGCTGACGACGGCTTCGTATTCTGATGATGACAAAGACGGTGCTCAAGCTCGTGGCGCTGTTGCAGTTGTTGCTGCTGATGCTGATGTTGCTGCTGATGATGATGCTGTTGATCATGGTGGCGATGATGATGATGGTGATGGTGGTGACGACTCTTTCCAGCGTTGTTCGCCTACATGGCATCATACATCAGCTGCGCGATCATCGTCATCGTCGCCACCATAGTCGCGGTAAAACCAGTGCCATAATGCCGATTATCAAAATGATCGTCACCATGGTCCCGTTATTTTTCGCTATGATATTCATAACTCCCGCTCCCTGGCATCATCTCCATTATCAACAGCCTCATCTGCCCCATCCTCATAATAGTCATCGTCGTCGGAATCGTCCCGTGACTATGAAGAACGTGCGTGTCATGGCTCCGGTCACTATTCACATTTGCAGCCACGGCGTCGGCATGGGAAGAAACAAAAAGTATATTTTCAGGCTTGATGTCACGGTGGATGATGCCCCGGTCGTGGCAGTACCTGAACCAGCGACTGGCTTGCAAGTGTGGAGTGTGGAGATTGGGATGCGGCGTTCCAGTGCAGTCTAGCGCAGCTGAATGCCAAAACCCCTGGACCCCACCCCCAGACCCTAGATCAAAGTCCAATCGGAACATAAACCGCGGAGATTTCGGGAATCAGTCCCGTGTGCAGACGGTGAGCTGTTACTCTCGTCCCTTTGTGAGCTGAAAAAGCGCAGAAGTGTTGACAACAGCTTGGTTTTGACTTGGCTTTGTTGTGCCGGAGGCCTACGTCTTTTGTCATGGGACCTGGACTGTAGTGATTGATTGTCAGACGAACGTTAAGCATGGCATGCAGGTTGTTTGATATATAAATACAAAAAGCTTTCGTTCATGCTCTGAACCAGCATTTTCTTGAGAGGCCGACTTGCATTCACAGTTTCCTTAAAAGCTGACTACGAGTCCGGCAAGGCGCTTCTGATTGTCCACACAGCACGGGAGACTCAAGCAAACCTCCGAAGGCCCAATTCGCGTTCAGACAGCACCATCAGAATTCGGTCTTTCTGTTGCTGAGATCCCGGACCGCAACGCACGCGCCAGTTGTCGGATTAGCTTCGCCACCTGTGAAAGCATGCAGACTCGTGTTCGCGCCTAAAAGGATCGAACATGCATCGAATCGGCTCAACGCCGGCCCAAGGCCTTGACCTCCTCAAAAACCGGAATACCGATCACTCGGAGGAAGAAAAGGGAACAAATAAAGGCCTTTTGTTAAATCTCCGGCTCCCAGCAAAAGAAAGAGTCTTCGAATTGCTTGTGAAACTTGGAGCTTGCTTTCTAACAGGTCTTAAGCATTTCTGGTTGGAGATTGCTTTCCATGTCTGCCATGTCAGGACAACATCGGCGTGAACAACTACGTGAAACTAGCCGGGAGGCTCGCGGACTTGCTGCTCTGACAACCAAGTAGGGCTTTAAGATTTGTAGGCCTGCGGGGTTCCAGGCATCTGAGCTGCTGCAGAGGTCAGGATTGTGGAGTTTATAGCTGGGGACTTCAGGAGTCAACTAACCGACACCAGAACCGCTCCTGTTTCAGAAAACTGACCTTGACGATCTCAGGGCCCCTGCCCACACCTCGAATCCTTAAATCCTTAATCGCAGAACGACCCTGGAACCCCGAAGCCGGCGCCCCTGAACATGCGCTGCGGTCGCAAGTTCCAACACCTAGGGAATCTCTGCGTGGGTGACGTCAGTTGAGGTTAAGATTATGTGATGAAGTGGAACCTGAAGTGCCTTATCCCTGTCAGCAACCCAACAATACGCGGCAGTGAGGCTCCTGGCCTGCAAACTTCCAACAACGAAGTACTTCCCTCTGCCTCCCCAAGCGCCACCATCTGAGTCAAGCCATTCAGCCCAGTTTATCCATGCACCTGAATAAAACACCACCGCCCAACAGCAATCAATAGGCTCGAACAGATTCTCCTTTTAGACCCAAACCACCTAACCCGCCCTTAAGCCCAAGCAATACCCCTGTGCCTGAGCTTCGTCGCCCAGGGCACCTTCGGCAATGCGGTCAAAAAGCTCGCCGCCGTGGCAGAGGTCCTGAAAGCTGGGCAAACACAGTTCAGGGCATGGGGTATGAAGCTTTGCTGCAGGTCGTGCAGACTCGGGTCCCGTGAAGGGTTGGGGCCGAGACCTTCTCGCTGGCAGTAGTGGTAATGGTGGCCACAGCAGCAAAGGTAGGATCAGTAGCAAGCTATTCGTGCAAGCAGTGGTGGGAGTCGACGTCGTTGTCGTAGTGGCAGTGGTAGCGCTCGTGGTGGTGATATTGGGATGGTGGTAGCAGTAACAGAAGCAAGTAGCAGCCGCAGCAGCAGCAGCAGCAGCAGCAGCCTCAATTAGCAGTAGCAGTAGCAGTAGCAGTAGGAGTAGGAGTAGCAGTAGTAGTAGGAGTAGCAGTAGGAGTAGTAGGAGTAGTAGGAGTAGGAGGAGTAGGAGGAGTAGGAGTAGGAGGAGTAGGAGGAGTAGGAGGAGTAGGAGGAGTAGGAGGAGTAGGAGGAGTAGGAGTAGGGGTAGGAGCAGGAGTAGGAGTAGGAGTAGGAGTAGGAGTAGGAGTAGGAGTAGGAGTAGGAGTAGTAGTAGTAGTAGTAGTAGTAGCAGTAGCAGTAGCAGTAGCAGTAGCAGTAGCAGTAGCAGTAACAGTTAAGCATAACGACTACTAATACCACCGCCACCACTACTACTCCTACTACTGATAAGAGTAGTAGCAGTAGTCGTTGTAGTTGTTGACATTGGTAGTAGTAGCAATAGAAGAAGTAGCCATTAGTAGTAGTGGTAGTAGCGGCAGCCGCAGCAGCAGCAGCAGGAGGAGGAGGAGGAGAAGGAGGAGGAGAAGGAGGAGGAGGAGGAGCAGTAGTAGTAGTAGTAGTAGTAGTAGTAGTAGTAGTAGTAGTAGTAGTAGTAGTAGTAGTAGTAGTATTAGTAGTAGTAGTAGTAGTAGTAGTAGTAGTAGTAGTAGTAGTAGTAGTAGTAGTAGTCAGTGGTAGTAGTGGTAGTAGTGGTGGTAGTAGTAGTAGTAGATTAGTAGCAGCAACGGCAGCACTAGTAGCATCAGCAGCAGTAGTGGTAGTACCGGTAGTAATAAGAGGAGGAGTAGGAGTCGGAGTAGGAGTGTGAGCAGTAGCAGTAATGTCGCAGGTGGTGGTGGCAGTCCCTGTCTTTTGCCTCGTTTGATTTCCGTCCTTGCCTGTATATAGAGCTACTTGCGGTGGTGGAAGATTTCTGGAGTCTTCCAACTCAAAGCCAAGGCTTCCTTGCCGCTCAACCCTGAAAGAGTGAGCTGGGAGTTTTGGGTGAGGACGCGCGGTGAGGATTTGTTAAAAAGAAGGTTGAGCGAAGCCAGGATTCCGTAGTGCTGTTCGGGAAATCTGTAAAGCAATCCTGGCAGATGCCGCCCTATTGTGCAGTTGTCGAATGCCAAATTGGCGAACTACACGTGCGTCGTGGCAGGAATCACTAGTTGTGAAAACCGTTAGCAACTGAACTGATCCAAGTCGCCATCACGATATAGATGGAGTCTGCGTCTTCGAAAACTTCCTGCAAGAGAAATGGAGGTTGACCCTGCAAAATCACAGCCAAAACCCGAAGCCATGCTGGCTGGAAGACGCGACAATGTCTATTCTGTCAGGTTAGGCATGTTTAAAGCATCTTGGGATTGGCCCGAGCGACCGAGCGACTAGATGAACCCGACAAGCAGTGCTCGCTCGCTGCATGGCGCAAGGCTTCAGGATCCAATATCGAGGAAATGCATTGGCAGGGCATAGGCTGCCTTAGGGCCAAGAATTGCGAACTCTCTGGGGATCCTGAAGAAATAAGCAGATACCTTTGCCAGCCAAGGCACATAGAGCTTACAAATGTTGGGGTGATCCAGCTGCTTGAGTACCTGGCACATGCGAAAGGAAACACAAGAGGACCGCTACAACGCCTCAAGGTTTCGGCCTTGAGAACTCACCCAAAGGCAGGCACCCATGCTCCCCGGCCAGTACCAAAAATCTTAAATCTCCTAAGTCCTCGACGGTGCCAGATGCCTTGCATGTCTTCCAGTTCCATTGCTTACTAAGGGTTGACGTGTCATTCGGAGGATGTTCGCAGTTGTAGCATGAAGGGCTCTACCTTTAAAGCCGTTGATTTGGCATTTGGTTTTGAGGTGTATGCTCTACTTCTGGCCTAGGTGTCAATTCTTAAGGGCCTCAGGATTATCTGTGTGCGGCACCGACTCTAAACCCTGCCTTCCTAGACCGAATGCTTGCTCCCTCATCTTTCCCCCCTTGCCCGCTTTCTTCGCAGCAAGGGTCCAGTCTAGGGAATCCTAGCAGATCGAAGTCTTCCGAGAACTCGGATTCGATGAGACGTCGAGTGGGCTCTGCCAGGTCTTGCACGGAGAAGCGCGGCATTTCGGACCTGGGCCACTGGGGGGGCCAAATAAAGCGGCTACCTGTAGCTCGCTGGCTCGGATGTGATCCAGGCACCTGTGGAAACCCAGACCCGAAAGCATCTGGTGATGGTGCATCTTCGACCCGCGGGGTTTGGGTCTTTTCAGGCTGCCAGTGCTGGCACACACGCCCCACCCTAAACGGAAGCAGAGCTGAAGTTGAGCGCTCAAACTTAACCAGAGAGATGTCGCCGTAGGCGCACTCTAACTCTACAGGCGCAAGCGCATGCTCCGGTAGGGGTTTGCTTTCTACAGTCCGTCAAGCCATCAAACCCTCGCGACTATAAACAAGTCGGCAGAAGTCAAGCGCGCATACGCTTTCAGTACGAGTCTGCGGACAGAGACCACAACCCTCACATTGCCTTGATTTCTGGAGACCCAACTAGCGTGTTCGACACAAATCCTGCAGCTTCCTGCAAGACACATATCCACACCACTCATGAATTCGCCCGAAAAACGAACACATGGAGCAAATCGTCGCAAGGAGGCTCGTTGATGCGTGCCAGCGCCGGCAAGCTGACGGCGAAACGGCTGCCAAGGACCTGGATCGCCATTGGACTTTGCACCTACACGTGTATGCTTGAACATATGTGAGTATGTGAATGCCGGCATCTATTTATGAAGCACCGTTCGTACCAGTAGCACTCGTTGTATACAAACGTCAATGTAAAGTACGAACTGCACGACTTGTCTATCATGCACGCAAGTCAGGTTATGTCAGCATGTCTGTTTGTCTGCCTGCCTGCCGGTCTGCCTGTCTGACCGTCCGTCAGTCTGCGCAGGCATGCACCGGCACCGGTACCGCCCTGTGTGTCTGCAAGTATGTGCATGCACGTTCCCGTGATAATGGGTGGGTGTGTGTGTGTGTGTGTGCGCGCGCGGGTGGGTGGGTGGGTGGGTGGGTGGGTGGGTGGGTGGGTGGGTGCGTGCGTGCGTGCGTGCGTGCGTGCGTGCGTGCGTGCGTGCGTGCGTGTGCGTGTGTGTGTGTGTGTGTATGCACGTATGTAGGTAGGCTGGTAGGCTGGTAGATAGGTAGGTAGGTAGGTAGGTGTGTACGTGTATATGTATGCATGTGCAGGCGTGTGTTTGTGTATGTGTTGCAGGAGCATACACCATACCATACATACGTTTTTATGAGTGTATGCATGTGTGCATGTATGGATGTCTGTAAGCATGCATGTACAGAGAATAAGAGTAAGTGCCTATGTTCCTGTGTACGAACGCAAAGATATGGCCATGAATGTATGTAACATAACTAGTCGAAACACAGGAAACGTGTTGACGTACGTATGTAAGGTAATGCAAGGTTGTGAAGGGCAGTATAAGGCAATGACAGGTAAGGTATGCTAATGTGTGGTAGTGCAATGAAGGTATTACTGGCACGGCGATGTAGGGTATGGTAAGGCATTGTCAAGAAAAGTGATGTATACCATGGAAAGATGTGGAAAGGCATGGGGGAGTGTAGCGTATCGCAAAGTAACGTAATGTATGTGCGTGCATTTAGAACCGTATGTACAGTACTGTACGTTGGCTTGCACGTGCCACAGACACGACTTACGACTTGCCAACTGGGCGACTTAATGAGTGAGCATTCATGCCCCTCCCCTAGTGACAATGAGCTGTCGTGATCCGTTATCATTGTACGTGTCAACAGCATGGCTGCTCTGCAGGGCGAACAATTCCTATAGCTATTGGACTTGAACATGCAGCTGACCAGTAGGACAAGTGTGTTCTTAGCATTAACCTTCCCTAAGCTTGAATTTCGGATGCGGCGCTTACCGTGATCCAAACTAGACCAGCATTCCGGTATTGATTATGATCATCATCGTCATCAGGACGATTGTCGCCATCATCGGCGCAAACAGTTAAGCATAACGACTACTAATACCACCGCCACCACTACTACTCCTACTACTGATAAGAGTAGTAGCAGTAGTCGTTGACATTGGTAGTAGGAGCAATAGAAGAAGTAGCCATTAGTAGTAGTGGTAGTAGCGGCAGCCGCAGCAGCAGCAGGAGGAGGAGGAGGAGGAGCAGTAGTAGTAGTAGTAGTAGTAGTAGTAGTAGTAGTGGTAGTAGTAGTAGTAGTAGTAGTAGTAGTAGTAGCAGTAGTAGTAGTAGTAGTAGTGGTAGTAGTAGTAGTAGTAGTAGTAGCAGTAGTAGAACTAGTAGAAGTAGTAGTAGTAGTAGTAGCAGTAGTTGTTGTTGATGTTGTTAGTAGCAGTAGTGGTGGTAGTAGTAGTAACAGCAGTAGTAGTAGCAGCAGGAGGAGGAGTAGTAGTTGGACTAGGAGTAGGGGTAGGAATAGGGGTAGGAGTAGGAGGAGTAGTAGTAGGAGGTGGAGGAGGAGGAGCAGGACTAGGACTAGGAGTAGGAGCGAGAGGAGGAGAGGCAGTAGGAGTAGGAGTAGGCGCAGGAGTAGTAGCAGTGCAGCACGGGGAGATGCAGTTGCAGTAGTAGAAGTAAGTAGTATAAGTAGTAGTAGTAGTAGTAGTAGTAGTAGTAGTAGTAGTAGTAGTAGTAGTAGTAGTAGTAGCAGTAGTAGTAGTAGTAGTAGTAGTAGTAGTCGTTGGCTTGCAGCTGGGTGCTGTAACTAGTGAGCAAGATGCGATCGCAGCCATAACAGGGCACAATCGGTCACAATCATGCATGCACGCGCTAATGAGGTGTGAAGTGCTGATGGCGGTTGGAGCTGGCAAGCTATGGCAATGCACGGCTTTGCTGAAAACCACACTATGCTTCTGCAACTTTGTCAAGACGTGGCTCAACAAAGAGCAGCCTTTCGGATTCTACCCGTCAGCACACAGAAACTCGCACCGAAGGCCAAACCTCCTTGCGAGCATCTAAGCAGACTAGCTTGCAATGACACATGAGATGTATAGTATAGGAGGCTTTCATGCCACGACGGCATTTAAATGGGACACATGTTGAGGGTGACTGCTCGCATGTACTGTTCCGAGACTAGGATGTGTCAACATTAGGAGCACGAAGAACACGCGAAATTCATTGATGATTCTGTCACCCTCTATTATCTATACAACAAGAACACACAGCCACACCCAAGAGACACGATGCCGGACTCTGGCAGCAAAGGGACCTGCAAATCCGACCTCAAACGCTCGAAGTGCAGCACATTCTCCTTGGCCACGTAGCGCTCACCCTGGCGATGGATGTCCCGAAAGGTTTGAGCTATGGCTTGAAGATTCATACGGGAAGCGTGAAACACATTCCATTCTCTTTCACTGTCACTCTCACTCCCACTTTCACTCCCACTCCCACTCCCACTCCCACTCCCACTCCCACTCCCACTCCCACTCCCACTCCCACTCCCACTCTCACTCTCACTCTCACTCGCACTCTCACTCGCACTCGCACTCGCACTCTCACTCTCACTCTCACTCTCACTCTCACTCTCACTCTCACTCTCACTCTCACTCTCACTCTCTCTCTCTGTCTCTGTCTCTGTCTCTGTCTCTGTCTCTGTCTCTCTGTCTCTCTGTCTCTCTGTCTCTCTGTCTCTGTCTCTGTCTCTGTCTCTGTCTCTGTCTCTGTCTCTCTCTCTCTCTCTCTCTCTCTCTCTCTACCAGGTAAAGAGAAGGCAGCGGACGCTACCCTCTCTGCACGCGAACGCGCACCTGCAGTCCGCAGGGTTTTGTCTCTCCCCCGTTGACTTTGCCAACAGGGGCTCGGCTATACTTTCAGCCAAATTCTCCAAGTATTACCAACAGTCCAACAAACACGATGACATTCCGCAACAAACCACAAAGTAATACTTGGTCCCCCGCGTGATGCCCCGCTTCCATGTTAGAATGCAGGTCAAGGGTTGGTTTCAAGAACTAATTCAGAGTGAATTTGTCCCATGACACACTGCCGAACAAGCTTGAAAACAATAATCATTCACAACACAAGGTGGTCATGGCGGCTGTCCCCCTCTGCACGTATGCATGAAAACCACTCTCTCTCTCTCTCTCTCTCTCTCTCTCTCTCTCTCTCTCTCTCTCTCTCTCTCTTGCTTGCACACAGCCACGGGAACGTGCAGCGCACCCCTGAAGTCTTTTATCACATTTGGTTGGTGGAACGAAGCACTGGCTTGGACTGTTAAACTCCAGACCCCGTGCACTAACCACGGACCACCGTCCCCCATATCAACGGTGCTCTAACTGTAGCAGCTGCCCTCGCTCGGCTCTTTGAGTCCGTGACATATGACACCAGAATGACGTACGGGGCGCAAGAGCTTAACTCTCTGTGCCTGTCGCTCTCTCTCGCTGTCACTCTGTATCTCTCGCAGGCATGCATGCAGCATGAGGGGTGCCGGATCACAACATATGTCAGGATCCAGAAACAAGTTAACCGGCAGGGATCAAGCAAAGCGTGAGAGCAGGATCAAGAACGAACTGTGCACCTCTGCTGCCTGTCTTGTTTAGCAGCAAGCCATTGGCGAACAGGTTTTGTTGTGCGGCAAGCTATTGAGGAATTCCGTTTCCCATTGTCCTGTTTCAGGTGCTTAAGTTGCTGGTTTCTGGTATACTGTTAACAACAATAACATCAATGCGAATGACAACAGCATCAATAGTCACCGCGGCAAGACTAAACACTGAAAGCAAAAGCGATGATAGTATCGAGAGAAGTCCCCATACCTTAGAAGGGGAGAACGGTACTGACCTAGGTCACAGACGACTCCACCGGAGGTCGGCAACCCAGGGCAGGCGGGTGGGAGAAAAGAAGTACCAGCTTGCCAGGTTTGGCTCTAGCTGAGGCTTAAGCCAAATTTTGCAAGCAGGTACAAGGTTCCTCAGAAATGATACATGCACACCCAAGCCTGCCAAACTCGATGCATGAACAAGACAGAGAAAGAGAGAGACAGAGAGAGAGAGAGAGAGAGAGGGAGGGGTAGAGTTTCGGTGCCCTGCTCGCTGTGGGAGTGCGCGTTTTCCATAGCGACGTGATTTCCACACAGAAAAGCCCGCAAACCAAGTGAACAACTGCTCTCCCAGGATGGCCGGTTCTGTATCATATATACATATATATATATATATATGTGCACATACACATATGCATGGGCATAGACATATATATATATATATATATATATATAGATAATATCTTGTGTTTGTGTACACTTGCTCACGCTTTTTCATTCAATCTATTTATACTCTCTGTTCTTTACTCACATGGCATGTCGACAGGGTCTACAGGATCTCCATTGAAAGGCCCGAACAGGGAAGAGTTAATCAGAACAAACAACTTGCTATCACATTTGTGCACCGTTCACGAACCACCATTCCCAAACACTCATTCCCACCTGCGCATCGTAGATGTACAGGTGCTGTGGGATAAAGTGGCCGTTGCGAAATGGTGAGCGAGCAGCCCCTTTCTCCAATTTCTCCTCTGCATTTTGAGCTGGTGAAAGGGTTGCCGATCCAGGTTTTCAGGAAACATTTGACTCCAAGGGCCCCAAGGGGCCTTCGCATCACATGAAGTTCGGGCTCCATGGGTAGTCAACTGCTTCCAAGCTCTCGGCCTTCAGTGTCCATCTTGCCTAACATGGAATATTCGATCTGAAACACAAAACTTGTAAACAACCCACATGAAGCCCTGCACTCCGTGGAGACTTTCGCCTTGCAGGAGGAATATCATCCTGGTAAATCAGAGCCGGCAATTAACAGTCTCTCCTGTAGCCAAGTGTTCAGATCCTGTGCCGTCGCACACAGGCGCTGCTTACGCCGATGGTCAGTCCGGGCTGGGGCGACGAAGCCTTTCCATTTGCACCTCAAGCGTTTCCTATGGTGGACCCCTGACTACTACGAGGCCAGAACCCCGCGAATCCAGTGTTTGGTCTGGTTCACGACGTCGTTGTGGTGTGGAGCGATCACTTCTGTAGGCTCATACACCCTGAAACAAAAAATTGCCTCCTTAATGTCGGGGTTCCGAGAACGGAACCGAAGAACCCCTGCCGAATTCCCAGAAATGTGTATACACTTAAAAAGCTAATTCTTCTTCGTCGTCTGCTTCTACTGCGTCGTAGCAGCAGCAGCACTAGCAGCAGTGGCCGCCGTAGGAGAAGTCGTCGTAGCAGTAGTCGTTGTAGTAAGAATCGTCGTTAGTAGCAGAGGCAGTGCGGCGGCCGCAGCAACAGCAGCAGCACCAGCACCAGCAGCAACATCAAAAGCAGCAGGAGCTACGACTTCTACCTGCTACCTACTACCTACTACTTATTACCTACTACCTACTACCTACTACTTACTACTTTCAATTTTCTACTACTACTACTGCTACTACCACTGCTACTACTGCTACAGCTACAGCTACTGCTACTACTAGTACTAGTACTAGTACTACTAGTACTACTAGTACTAGTACTACTACTACTACTACTACTACTACTACTACTACTACTACTACTACTACTCCTACTTCTACTCCTATTCCTACTACTACTACTACTACTGCTACTACTACTACTACTACTACTACTACTACTACTACTACTGCTACTGCTACTGCTACTGCTACTGCTACTGCTACTGCTACTGCTACTGCTACTGCTACTGCTACTGCTACTGCTACTGCTACTGCTACTGCTACTGCTACTGCTACTACTACTCCTACTACAGTGGCAAACGCAGTACCAATACTGATGGTAGTGTTTTTCCAGGCCACCGGAATTCGCTGATTGCCCGAGCATATGGGCAGCGAACCACTGCAAACGGGATGTAGCCGCAGTATGGGTCCTCTGTCGTGACCCGGGTAGCTTCGGGACTTCCGTTTCAGGCTCTTCGGGCTGAAGACTAGCTGAGGCAATGGATCATTTATACGAGAGCACTCCTGTTTTTATCTGTGTACACACATCTCACGTATGACCCTTGCCTGAAGTTTGCGGCCAACGACGATTACGGGTTTGGGAGCCGGCTGGATAATCATTCCTGCAATACGTCTGCAGACTTCAAGAGCAGCCCCTCGGCCCCGAAACGCTTGCAACCATGCACCCTCATGTCCAGCTGGCCTCTTCATGTGCTTCTTCGGAATTTGCTCACGAAGTGTGTTCTGTGCAGATCATGATTGTAGCAAGGACAAGCCGCCAAGCCCGACCCAAACTGTCTCTGGCGCCTGATCTGCGATGAACTGCAGCATGAAACAAGACTAGCTGTAATCCTTTTTCGAGAAAGAGGAGCACATCGCTCCACGCAGACCAAAGAAGCTGAGGAAGAGGACAAAACTACAAGACCGCATCATCATTTGACCAATTGTCAAACCAGGGGCCAGAGAATCTGACATGTCGTTCGAAGGGTACTTGAAAATTTTTGAGAAAGCCTCATGCCGTCCGAAAGGGACCAGCGAATTTTGGGAAGCCTTGGGTTCGGTCCCCGCCCTGCAACAATCCACCAAAAGGTGAAGGATTGCAGGAATTGATATTTGGTCCTCCGGAAAATAGAATTCGGATTTCCGCAGCAAATCGGAGAGATTTTTGGAATTCGCCTCAAGGCAAATAGTGGAGGCTTCAAGAGATTGATGCTCGTGTCTGGAACCAGGAAACTGCTTTGCCCAAAATGTCGGCCATGCCATCAGTTTGTTCAACAAGATACAAACTAGACTGCCACAGGGAGCACAAGAAACGCACAACTACTTAAGCCAATTGGAGCACAAGCCAAAGCACGAACTCAAAAATCAAGCGCAATAAAACAAACACAAGCTTGAGCACAATAAAAATCCCAAGGAGCGCACTGCTTTTAAATTGGAGCACAAGCCTGAAGGCCCAAGGTCTGGGAGGCCAAGGGAGGCCCAGGGTTCCCGAGTTTAAGTTTCGTATGAATGGTGCGAATCGGTGGGAAAGGCCTTATCACAAGGGTTCGGCCTCGCTGAACTAGCATGGTTTTGGGGTTGCTTCCTTTTTTGAAAACCGCTGAACTCGGTACATTGCAGTAGTGCTTTTCGCTGTGGTTCGTATTCTGGTCGGTGGGGCGGGGCAGCAGACAAAGGAAGCGTTTCGCCAGGCACTAGAGACAAAGAGCTGCAAACTGCTCGAAATGGGCTAGAGCTCGAGAGCAACGAGCTGCGACGAGCCCGCAAGAGTCCAAACTTCAATCGGAGCATGGTTCCAGTATATATCTGCTCATTGCTTGCGAGTGCAATTTATGGACCTTCTCGGAATAATTGTTGGGTGTATTACATTACAAAGTGTTTGAAGTGCAGTAACCTCAATCCCGTAGGCAGATTCAATACATGAGCACACCCGGCTGCAGCCTTGAGGAAGAAGCGCGGTGGGACATGCCACCACTCCGAGCGCAATCGCCCATCTGAGCTGCTCGGGGTTAGGCTGCAGGGTATCCTCGGGCGTCCTAAAGCTCTATAAACCCTGGCCCCTCATTGAACCCAAACGTGGCCCCTTCCAAATCTTCAAGAGGCACTGAATCCGACAGTGTGTGAGGCTGCTAAGCCACCAGGGTGGGAAAAAGCGGCACAGCAGTCCTGTGAGCTTGGCAAAATGCAAGTATCAGAAGGTGAGACACACTTGATGCACCAGGTTTCGTCCACTCCCTAGTATTCGCGTCGCTTCTGGAAGCTATCTTCTGCAGTGTGTTTGCGACATAGGGCAAGTGCGAGACCACACCCGGGAAGGCGTCACATAGTTCTTGCGATCAACAGCTCACGACCACGCACGCCGTGTTAACTCCGGAAGGCTACAGCCTTTCAACCTGTAGCGTAAACCACAACCGTGAATGAATTCAGCTCTCGATGCCTGGACCACTGAAAGAAAATCCGTCGAATAAGTTGAACCACGAGTCAAAAGCAATGGCAATCACGAACAGAAGATAATCATCGCAACAGAGCTATATGATGTTCGAGGCGCAAGATACGGTTCCATGAGCTCCTGTGAACATTCTTCTGTCTTGTGATACCGGAGCCTATACGAGCTCGGTCATGATGCACGCATCACTGGTACGTTCTCGGACTGGGCGCTCGATGCAGGCAGGGATGGTAAGTCCTGAACCCTCGCCTGCATTGTGGGTCGTTTGGGTATGAGGGAATGAAGGGTTCAGGGTTGGGCTTTTTCGTGCTTGCAAATCTCGGTATCAGCTTCAGGCTTTGTCCGAGCGGCTGTTTGGTGGATGGAGAGCGCCCCGGTGTGTTTGCACGGATTTCCAGTGCTTGCCCCACAGTGCACCGACCTCTCAGGGGTTTTCGGGGACTTGAAAAAAACAGCAAGATCCGTACCCGAGATGCAAATCAAAGCTTTTAGGCAGCTCCATGCGCAGAAGAGCCAACGGAAAGTACCCTTTCACATCACGTGGCGGAGCATAGTACAAGACGCCTGCTGCGCACTTTTCCCCTTCTTCCCAAACATGTACCGCCTGTTCCACCAACCTTCAAACCCCGAAATCTTAAAGGATCCTCAAAGGAGCCCGTCCCACCTGCCGGCCCATATCCTCTAATGCGGATCCAGCATTTTTGCTAATGTGCCTCAGCTTTCCAGAATTCGATGACCGAGAGAGTCCACATCTGCGTGAATCAGGGATGCCATGATAAGTGCAATTGTTGGTCCTCGTGCCGTGGTTGCTATGCCGAACCTTTGCCTCCCACCGCTACGCAGATTCGTCCCAGGGTGCCCGGCACTACCACGACAGGACCACAACCAGTGTCCCTGCTGGTGCTCCTGTTGCGACTGCAACAAGTCTACCACGAAAATTATTGCCAGGTACAACGACTAGGAACTACCTCCTCCTCCTCCTCCTCCTACTACTACTACTACTACAGTACTGCTACAGTACTACCACAGTCCTCCTCCTCCTCCTCCTACTACTACTACTCCTCCTCCTCCTGCTGCTGCTGCTGCTGCTGCTGCTACTATACTACTCCTACTCCTACTCCTACCCCTGCTCCTACTACTGCTACTACTACGACGACGACTACTACTGCTGCTCCTGCTGCTGATACTACTACTACTACTACTACTACTACTACTACTACTACTCCTCTTCCTCCTCCTCCTGCTCCTGCTCCTGCTCCTGCTCCTGCTCCTGCTGCTGCTTCCACTACGGTGATGTGGTGGCCGGGCCACACGGCAGCGGGGTTCAGAGGTAGTATGACGTATCTGTTTCAGATTCTCCGTATATTTAATTCCCCGCATTCCTGCTCCTACTGCTACTTCTATTCCTACTCCTACCCCGACCCCAACGCATACTCCTACTCCTGTTCCGTGCTGGTGCTAGTGCTGATGCTGGTGCTAGTGCTACTGCTGCTGCTCCGACTTCTACGACGACGACGACGAAGACGACGACTACTACTACTACTACTACTACTACTACTACTACTACTACTACTACTACTACTACCTACTGCTCCTCCTGCTGCCGCTGCCGCTGCGGCTACTGCTACTCCTACTGCTGCTGCTGCTGCTGCTACGACTACTACTTAGCTAGATGGCATCCGAAGTTCGTGCCGAGTTGCAGCAACTTAAGCCGGGCAAATTCATCACGGCTGCGGCTGCGGCTTCGGCTGCGTCCATCCATCAGGCGTGTGCTTGTCCGATTTGGGGGTGTCCAATTTGCAGAAAGCGGAAGGACTTAAGACTTGGCGGCAGTAGATCTGATGTGATTAAGGCTCATGCCCAGCCATGTGAGCCTCAAGGCCCTTGGGCAAGAGCTTCGGACCTCGTTCGCAACCTGTAACAGGGCTTCATGTCGGAGCATCAATCTGCTGTGGTCTACTCCGGTATTTAAGTCTCGTCTTTGACCGGACCAAAGGACCGTAGGGTGCAAACCTGCAGCTATTAAACCCAAACTTCCCGATGCAACCACGAACTCCAGGACACCTAATCTCCCTCATCTGTCAACCCAGAACCTCACTCTTTGGGCTTCAGGTTGAGGCTTGGCTTCCTAGCTTGCGCGTCAATCCAGGCCTGAAGCTTGAGCCTCAGCAGGGACGTCTTTTATCCCTCTAAAGCCTGAAACTTCGAACTCGATGTATGCTTAAACACCTTGTGAGCTTCCTAGATGACCTATATAACTGTGTATCACCGGCAAAAACAAGGGAGGGAACCTCGATCTCTGCGAGGAAACTCTCAGTCGATCCATCGCGAAAGCGACCCTTTAGTACCTGCGCCGAGTTTGGCGGCCTAGGATAGGATACAGATGTCTTAGGCATTATGGATACGATACGGCTCGAGAACTGTGGGCGTGCAGGTTTGAAAGTCGGGCTTAATCAAGGCCGCTGATGACCAAAAACGTTTTCATCTCAAGAGGCAATCCCATCGGCTGAAGGCTTTGGCAGGGCCATACAGATCATGTTCGGCGAGGGCGGTGAACAGAGTCGAGCCGCGTGCCATCAACAAACATTCTGCTGACCTATACTGAAGAAGCCGAACGTGCTGCGCTCGTGCGCTGCCCGGTGTGGTGCGGCCCTAATTGTTTTCATGAACCTTTCCATTTTTGACATGTGCCACCACCTTGTGGTGCGGGCCTGTGACCGAATGCCACCTTGTGACACTGGTGGCGGCTAGTTTTTTCGATGTTGAAACTACTATTGCTGCTACAACAAAAACAACCACAACACCACCAATGCGACCACGGTGCAGCAGAACCACCACCAAAAACCCACCACCATCACCACCACTGGACCACCACCACCGCCGCCGCCACCACCAAGACCGCGACAACGACCACCAGCACCAGCAGCACCAGCACGACCGCCACCACCGCCACCACCGCCACCACCACCACCACCACCACCACCACCACCACCACCACCACCACCACCACCACCACCACCACCACCACCACCACCACCACCACCAATACCACCGATACCACCAATACCACTAAAGAACAAAAATGACCAATAATAGGGACAACAGAAACGACAAGGTTTCAAACCACCAATGACAATCACGACAATAACAGCAATGGCAACAACAACAACAACAAGAACAATAACAAGAGTAACAGCAACTGTAACGTAAAGGTCACGGTAACAGTAGCGGCAAGAGTAAGAGTAACAGTGACGGTGACACTGACAACAACGGTAACAATAATAATGACTCGATGACAATAACAACAACAATAGCAACCACAACGACGATGACAATTAGGATGAACAGCAACAGCATCATTGAATCATCCGGAGCAGAAGCGAACCGCAAAATTGAAAAACAACAAAAGAAAAACATACAACAACTAACACATCAACTAACTACGAAAACAGCCACAGCATCAGCCGCAACCACCACAACGGTGGCGACAGAAAGGACAGCTACCATAAGCACCAGTAAACAAGAACAAGACGACGACAAACAACAACTAAACGAATGACATAAAACAGGACCGCGACTCGCGAGCGAGAACAACAACAAGAACAAGAACCAGAGCAAGAGCAACAACAACAACAACAACAACAACAACAACAACAACAACAGCAACAGCAACAGCAACAGCAACAGCAACAGCAACAGCAACAGCAACAGCAGCAGCAACAACAACAACACCAACACCTGCAGCAACAGCAACAGCCACAGCAGCAACAACAACAACAACAACAACAACATAACAGCAAAAGACAAGACATGCACCAGCATCATCATCACCATCATCATCTTGATCATCATCGTCCTCAGTCATCATGGTTATCATCATCAGCATCATCATCATCACCATCATCATCAGAATCATCCAGCAACCACCACGTGCAGATAAATCTAGGGTGTGTTGACGAAGAGGCATCACTCAACTTCACCACAATTGCCGCCACCGCCACCACCACCACCGCCACTCCCGCAACACCACCAGCACCACCCCTACTGCCACGAACACGTGTCGGTTTAGCACATGAACACAATTCTGATTGACAAGCATCGGATGTCGTTGCCGTGCAAGCAGCCGGGCCAGGCCTTCTTCACCGCACGTGCTCCATCCTGGCACAAGAGACCACACCACAAGATCTGCAAGGCGGTGTGGAGTGTATATGCACACATGAAGGATCTAACATACCGCGACATGGGATTAGTGCTGCTGCTTCTGTCAGGGTTCTTGTACTTGGATGGAGGGATGTGCCACTAACCACGTCAAGAGGCAGGCCCTGGCCTCGAGCAAAGGGTGCACGCAACTACGCAACTGCCGCTGAGTTTTGGGGGGCAGATGTGCTTTAAAGGCTCCCGTAGCGTTGGCAGTGGGTTTGCACGGCTCTGCCGCGATTTAAAGCAACAAGATGGACTGGGATCATGTATATAGCCTCATAATCATTGCTTCTTGCAGTGCATGTGGATGTTGGGGAGCTAGGCTTTTGACTTTTCAGATGAGAATGCTGCTTTTCCAGCACAGACAACCTTAGGCGCAACGAGAGGCATGAAGGCGGCTCGGACGGAGATGATACCAGTATGTCGCAGGTTTCGGGTGCACGTGTCTCAGAGGAAGGGAAAGGCCGAGAGTGACTGTGAAAGTCCCTTGTTGGGTCTTCCAGGCCGACCTGAGACATTTTTTGCCCCACCGCCCACGGCCTGGCTGCATTGGCCACTCACAAGCCGTGGGATGGAGCTGCCCGAATCGAGGCGTGGAAAAGCCTGCCAGGATTCAGATTTATTACAGTGCTGGGCCTTATGGTGCTTGACAGCTCTGCGGACCTTGAGACACTATGACCGGGCATATGACCGCGATGAATCCTCGATTCCTAGATTCGGCTCAAAACGCGACCCGTGTCTTGGGGTGAAGACAGGAGTCACGGTGCACAGACGTAGATCAGACTCGTGCCCCGTGAAGTTCTTCGGACCTCCGTGCTTGAGCGAGTTCATCCTTTTTGTATGCACGCATCGTCTGTTTGGCTCAGTCGTTGTTTTCAGACTTTATGTAGGATAATTGAGCTTGAGCTGCTGAAGTTGGGGACTGCTTAAGCAGGACGTCGGACCTGTGGTGACGTTGCTGAAGCAAGTCAGATTTCGTTGCACGCGCTTGGCTCAAGGCCAAAAACAGCACGCCATGGAGAGAAATCCTGTTGCCTTGAATCTTGGGGGAAACTTACCGTCGAAGCGCTTCAAACAAATATGTATATAACTGAACCCTATGGCCGTGCCGTGCTTGCTCGCACCCACAGCAGGCCGCACGCGACCATGCGGGTAGCTGACAAACACGAGCATGCGCAAACTGAGGCAGCATCCGGATAAACCACGTCAACAACTTGTCGAGCCACACTCTCAATACCACACACACACACACACACACACACCAAATGCCATGCACTGCAAATCGCACCTGACGAATGTGACAACTCATAACCAACAGGGCAAATCGGGTCTTCATGGATGCCACATCCTTTTCGGCCTCCCAGGTGGAACCTGTGGCACCCTCCCCAAGCAGCCGACCAAACTCGTATCGGTCCTTTGGAGGAGCCGAGGGGCTTTCTTCATGCTTCTGGCAGTGAGAGTCATTGTTGATTGGCTTTGCAACTCAGAGTTTACGACAATCTTATATCAATTTCGCTTTAGAATGTTGAGATTTAGGGTCGGGCCATGTCTTCGGTGTTCCTTTTGGTTTGAGGGGGTGTCTTGTTCTAAACTGTGAAGCCGGTACAAGTCTTAACGAAACAAAAGCTGCCTTGGAAATGGGTTATCGTGCACCAGCGGGTACCGAAACTGGAACGAACAGCACATAGAAGTGGAAATATTCTTCAACAGTTCGGGTTTAGAGCTCGAAGGCAACCTTTCACCGAAAGCTCCACATGCAAAGGATGGCGACTGGGACTCGCTGTTGTGAAAGATGACGTCGGCTCACTAGGGAAGACGTTTATTCTCGCCCTGTTTCCGAGTAAGAGGCCTCAAGCGAACCCTTAAACAGCTACGGGCACTCAAGTCGAATTTGGTCGCCGGTCAAATAGGCGGGCCTTGCAATAATGGCGAAATCCCATCCAGCCTATTCCTCAAGCCCCAAGTCTGTGAACCTCGCAAGGACTTGACTCCAATTCCTCACTGGGGCCAACGACGTAGACTGAGATGTCTGCACCGTGCTGCGAAATGAAGCCTTCCAGCAATTGTTTTAAAGTTCTACGCGTAGGGTTTGGGCTTCCCCTTTCTTATTGTGTACCTGGGCTTAGGTTTCAGGATGATAAGTCTCGGGGAGTTGATAGACTCGCGCAGTGCCGCGATTCCTGCGCTCCTTTGGCATGAGATGCTAACCTGGAAAACACTAAAACTTGAAAAGAATGGGTCATATCTTTCAGTACGAATATCTGCTCAACAAGATTTATACACAGGGCCTTACCCGAAACAATGCACTGGGAACCTCAGGAAGATACTGTCATCGCCATCGTCATCAGCAACAGCGTCACAATCGTTTGCTCGCCAAACTGTTTCAGTGCAGCTTCTACATAATATAGTGTCAATGTTAACTTGTATTTCGTACAGCTGGCCGCAAAAACGAGACTGGCTTGAACAGCTAGTGGTTCCCGCCAATCATCAGTATCGTTGCCAGAACCGTGGCTGCCCCTCCCACCCCGGCTCCGGCTCCACGTCAGACTCGCCTACTACTACTGCTGCTGCTGCTCCTACTCCTACTGTTACGACGACGACGACGACTACTACTACTACTACTACTACTATTACTACTACTACTACTACTACTACTACTACTACTACTACTACTACTACTACTACTACTACTACTACTACTACTACTACTACTGCTACTGCTACTACTACTACTACTACTACTACCACGACTACCACCAGTCATAATAGTACGAATAGTGCCACTAATGCCACTGCTACTACTTTTTTATAGGTATAGTCATACGAATACAGTTACTGATACTGATACTCATACACTTAAACCTACTCGTGCCCATACCAATACTACTACTACTACTACTACTACTACTACTACTACTACTACTACTACTACTACTACTACTACTACTACTACTACTACTACTACTACTACTACTACTACTACTACTACTACTACTACTACTACTACTACTACTACTACTACTACTACTACTACTACTACTACTACTACTACTACTACTACTACTACTACTACTACTACAACTACTACTACTACTACTACAACTACAACTACAACTACAACTACAACTACAACTACAACTACTACTACTACTACTACTACTACTACTACTACTACTACTACTACTACTGCTACTGCTGATGCTACTACTGCTACTGCTGCTACTGCTACTGCTACTGCTACTGCTACTGCTACTGCTACTGCTACTACCACTACCACTACCACTACCACTACCACTACCTGTACCTGTACCTGTACTAGTACTAGTACTAGTACTAGTACTACTACTCCACCTTCACGACTACGACTACTACCACCACTACTCCAACCGTCATCACAATGATTCGGGAGTCGTGAGCTGCATGCTTGCGGCCTGGAACCTGAAGGCTTTGACCTTGTGAGGCCTTCTGCATGTAAGATAACGGTCTTGGGTAATGGAGTCTAGACCCTTGTATAACTGGGAGCTTTCTGCCCCTCGATTGCAAATTGCTTGCAGGCTCTTGTAACTGATCAACTTACAGTTTGAGCTCGAAGTGCAGGATGTAAGGAGTCTCAGCGAGGTTGGGTGGCTACAGAAACCAACCAGGTACACAGCCTGCGATGACAAGCTGAAACCTAGACTGTCTTACGCCTCTTCGATTCTGTCACCGTGTTGCTGTTACAAGCATTAGCGGGGCATGCTGCGACCAGCCGCGTGGAGAGAGGTACCATCTCATATACGGTCAGACTGAGTTCAGACGTTTGAGTTCTTGCCCTAGAGGCCTGGAGGGTAGCGTTTGAACTCCCATAACGCCAGCCTTTGTAGTTCACTGCGGAGCTCATGCGCTTGTGAGAAGAAGAAACGGGTGTTTCATCACCTTGGCTGCCCAATGGAGGGATCTCCGCTTGACGGATTGCAGAGTCGTTCGTGACCAATGCCAAACCAAAACACCCTCAACATCCAGAAGCCCTTCTTGTTTTCTACACCTCATCCCATGTGCAAAAAGTCGAAACTTAGTCTGAGTCTGAGGGTCTGAATCTAAAACTCTAACCTCCAGCAGTTGGATTTCCGAGGGTGCCGGGTCCAATGCGGCCTCGAAGCCCAGGCTGTTGGCAAGGTCCGTGGTTGGATTGGACTTCGCCTGTCACCAAACCCTAGGCCGCCTAAGCCCAGGCCCAAAAACCCTCAACATGACCCTTTCGTGTCGTAAGTTCTTAAAGTCGAAATGGGCAAAACACAAAACTTTTGCTTGGAAAGCCTGGGATTAAGACACTATGCCTTAGGATGTCTTGAACATGCATACTCAAGCCGTAAGACGTTCGGATGTCAGTGACGGACTTGAAGGATGCTCGGAGTGCTAGACCCGAAAGGTAAATACCTCCGTCCCCGCAACCACCCTGTAAGGCCCCAAGCTCCTAAATCGCGATTCTCCGTCACTCGATTACCGCCAGCATCAGGCCTTGACTATCGGTCGCGAATCCAAGGGAGAGTCAATCGACTCCTCCTCCCACTCATCCCCAAGGGCCTCGTGGTGCTCACGAGCGAGAAGACACTTTGGGGTTTAAGGCGGTTGAGCTTTGGGACGGCTTTGGGATTCGGGGGGTTTTGGAGATTGACAAAACAAAAACTCTAAAACCTGGATCTAGGACTTGCGCTTGGCATGGGCGAATGTATACATAGGGTTCTTGAGTTTGGGGTCGCCTTCATCGAGATGCCAGACACAAGGACTTGTAACGACGAGAATGACAAGACTGGCCACATCAACACCCCAAATCAACAACGCCCGTCGCGACAGCAACTGTCGTTGTGTTATCGGTGCACGGGGCCTGTCAAAGGTTTATCGGTTTTGACCTCATGCCGTTCTGACGCTGGGCAGACACTTCGCACAGTCGTGCAGGATCAGGTTGGGAAGAGCAAGGCATCGCGTGAAGGGGGCAGTTCTGGGCGGATGGAGGGCCCGCGTATTGTTGGGAGTGAGTGAAGGGACTGGAGTGTGAAATCCTCGTCGCAGCCTTAATGATGTACACAGAGGGCTGAGATGATCGAGGTGGAACACGACCACTAGGCCGAAAGCACCTGGCCAACCCACTGTGACTAAACACTCCAGACATTTTCCCCTTACAACTCTCGATGAGATATCCTGCACGTCATATTTACTTACGGGTGCAATTGTCTTGGCAGCCTAGCGGCCTAGCGCTCTTTAAAGAGAAGCCCCAACTGTTTCAAGTCCGGGTGACCAGGTGTGCCAGGTATGTCAGCTTGCAACCAGCACTCGACTTCAAATCGGTGCATGACATGAGGTCTCGCCTGAGCACCCCAGCTAGCCCCACGTCGTATGGGGCTCCATTTTCAACCCGACATGATAGTGTCCTGCTTGAACCAGTACAAAAATAGTAATAGCACACCCGATGTCTAGAAATTTAGAGTCTCTCACGAACACCCGCCAAAACCCGCTCTCGTGTACAAGCCTAGGCCAACCCGAACTAAGTTGACCCGACTGGATCCCCAAACTGCCTGAGCCCTTCTTGCCAAGCGGCGCAGTTGAAAAGCGCAACCTGGGTCTTTAAGAAGTGCAGGGATTTGAGAGCAGATGGCGGGAGTATGACTTGAGCTTGCCCGCCGTGCCCTCCCCTCCCCCAGTGGTTCATTATGTTTCCCTCCGCAGATGAACGGATTCTCGGCTCTCCTCCTCCCTGTGGTTCGGGGCTGGTTCCCTTCCCCCAATGGATCTCCCTCCGCACGTGCTGTTCTGCCAGGGACGTGGTACGCGTTCGCTTCCCCATATTTGCTGGGCAAGTATATGTGAGCTGCATGCCATGAGTAAACTTTGTTGGTCGTGTGACTTCCACTCCGAGAAAGCAAACACTTGTACCTCGGTACATGTACCTATATACGTGCATAATCATGTATCTAGTTTGGTCAGACTTTTACCTCCCCGCCTCTCCCGCGTGGAACGGGATATCCTCCCTCATTATGTGGAGTGGACAGGTGTTGGAGCCGGACACACCATTGGGGGAGTTTGAGCCGGGGCCGGGAGCATGGGGCCGGAGGGAGCACACATAACCATATATACCGTATACCTGTCAAAAATGTAACTGTATTTACATATATACATATGCGTGTGTAGGCAGTATACATATGTATATGTACATGTATATGTATATGCAGATACATAATATATATATATATATATATATATACACACATATGTATACAACGTATCAGAAACTATAGTTCTGAATAAATGCATGCATTCATGCGTGTGTGTGGTAAGCAGGCAGGCAGGCAGCTAGGTAGGTGTAGGTGGGTTCGCAAATATGTACGTATGCATATTTAAATGTGCATGTGTCTGTGTATGTCTAGATGCGACCATGCATGTTCTTTCGAATACGCACGCAATGTGCAGACGCATATATGCTTGTATGTATGTATGTATGTATGTATGTATGTACGCATGCACCTGCGTATGTACCTACGCATTATGTGGGTATGATTGTATGTATGGGTGTACTTGAATATATTGTAGCACACTATACGAAATAAAGGTGCATGTAGATAACAAAGGGTGATATACATAGGCTTGTGAATAGCGGCTTGCAACGCAACCATGCCTTGGAGGTGAGTTTTGATGCAAACATGCTTTCGAGGTACGGCTATTCGGGGTACCATACATATCTATATACTTATATACACATTCTCGTAAATATATATATATATATATATATATATATATATATATATATATATGTTTTATATACACACATGTATTTTTTTATACACACATATGTCTGCGTATATGTGCGTGTATGTGCATTTGTGTGTTTCTATGTGTTAACATATGTATGTATACTGGTTACTAGATTTGGCATACAACTCGGCAATCAAAGCAAACAAACAAAAAACCAACTAGCAAATAAACAAGCCAATGAACAACAGTAATGCTTTAAATCAAAGGGTCATATACTGCGCCATACGTACATACCGACAGACAGGTACACAGATAGGCAGATAGACAGACAAACGGACAAAGAGACAAATAGACACACCCAGATTGACATACACACATGCACGCGACCCACTCATCCACAAACCCATCTTCATTTACGTACCGACAGAGACTGCGTACGCACGTACCTGCATGCCTAGGTAAATGCTTCCCTCCATCGATATCCATCCATCCATCCGTCCTTCCGTCCATCCATCCAGCAATCCATCCATCCATCCGTCCTAACACCCGTACATAGTTACCTGCATACGTGCGTATGCACACACCTACATGCAAACCTGCCCTCCTGATCCCTCCTGCATACACCCGCAGACCGACACATGGGGAGCTAGATAGATTTAAAGATCGATGGATACGTAGGCAGATAGATACGTAGATACATAGGTATGGGACACAATATATGCAAGTTACACGGATAGGCAAACGAGATACGTACACCTATACAAAAACAAATAAATGTGTGTATATATATATATATATATAAGTATATATATATATATATATATATATAATGTAAATGAATACGTTCTCAGGTTTGGGAAAGCTGAATCCGCAAGATCCGGGGCAGGAACCCCGCAGGATGCAGCGTCGGGTCCTGGCCGGTACTGCCCTGGCAAGTGGTTCCGAAGCAGAGCGCATGAAAGTGCAAAGCCATGCAGGCAACAGCATGCATCGCAGAAATCTAAGACAGCAACATGAACAAGACAGACGGTGAGAATACTGTTCATGCCACTCGTAGCAGTAGCATCGAGAGCCGTATCCTCGAGTGTACAGCAGGAGCAGGAGCAGTAACAGTGGCGGTACCGTTAGCCGTGGTAGTGGCAGTAGTAGTAGTAGTAGTAGTAGTAGTAGTAGTGGTGGTGGTGGTAGTGGTAGTGGTACTTGTGGTACTTGTGGTACTTGTGGTACTTGTGGTACTTGTGGTACTTGTGGTACTTGTGGTACTTGTAGTGGTAGTGGCAGTAGTAGTAGCAGCAGCAGGAGTAGTAGCAGAAGCAGCAGCAGTATAGACAGTATGGCTACAGCACAAGTAGTTCCAGGCGCAGTGCCATTTCAACCTGGACAAGGATAAGCTTTTCATCGGCAATAACTGCTACTGGGCAACATCATGATTATTGCACACAATCTACGCACTTGCCAAATACAGCCCTGCCATACTGGACTCAAATCCAAAACACATTTCTGGACTGAACCAGCAACGGCCGTAATCGTCGCATGGCTACTTCAACAAGCCAAACTGCAAACACATTAATCACGATTCTTAAGCTTCCTGCCAAGTTGAAAAGGTGCACTTCTGCTGAACCCCGACTGCCTAGGGGCGCCGATGCCACACCCTGGCTGACGGGAGCTGTGACGGGAATTGTGTGGTCTCGTGCCGCACTTCCCTGAACCTGTGGCTGCCGATGGATGCAACGCTTTGGGGACAGCGGTTCATGTGGGCCTGGAGGTGATCAAGCTTGGGGGTTCACAAAGTCTGCGAAACAGGTGCGAAGTTTGTCCTGAGAGAACTACTACTAGTACTACTCTCTGCAGCTGCTGCTTGTCTGCTTGCTGCTACTGCTACTGCTACTGGCACTGGCACGAGTGCTACTGATACCGCTACCACTACTGCTACTGCTATTGCTGCGCCTCCTCCTACTACTACTACCACTACTGCGACGACTACTACAAACTACCGGCATGCTTGTATCAGAATGCACATGCGACAACACATGCCACGATCAAAAAGCATCGAGTAGTACCGAAGCAACAGCTTCGAATCTTTCTGCGAATCTTGGCAGGTAGTGCATCACAGACCTCCTTTCGGTAGAGATATAAACTAGGCCTCTTTCCAGTTCCAAGTGACCACGGAGCGCCCGACGATGGGCAACTCTACAGAAGCTCGGCCTCGAGGATGCGGGGAGAAAAATGCGATTTGTGGCTCCGGTTTGTTTCCTGGCAAAGAGTTCAGATGCCTGGAATTGAAAACTTCAGAGTGTCGTGGGACCGCGGACTCTTGAATGTAGAGGGTGGAATGAGTGGAATGCCTGCTGTGCAGATGTCTATTAAGTCTCAACCTTCAGACTTCTCATGACACGGCAGGTCATTGGATTTTGTCCTCGTGCTTGGTTTCAGGTCCAATCACTGGTTTCGCCTGTTGGGATCTGTATAAACAGGGAGAGGGAGATGCATTAAAACGTTTCGGTGCGTGTACATGTTTCTATGCACATATCTATTTTCGAGTACGAATGTATAGGCGTTTTCATCTGCACGGTATGTGTATACGTATATATTCATACATACATGCATACTATTAGTACGTCTGACGTAAGGTAAGTGGATATACATGAGCAGATTTTGATTGCACAGCCTAGCGGTAGCATGTAGGGTTGGCAGCTTTTGCTGCACCCTTGCCCCAAGACCCAGACCACGACAGCCGTACCTTAGAGCCCCGGCAGCGACCATCTACTGAATTCCGAAATCGGGCACACAGAGATTGCTTGCAAGGAAGCACATGACACGAATACTGTCCTGTAAATCTGTAGTATTAGAAGTCGTACCAGTGGTCGTAGAAGTCGTAGTAGTGGTAGTGCTAGGCGATGCTGTAGTAGTAGTAGTAGTAGTAGTAGTAGTAGTAGTAGTAGTAGTAGTAGTAGTAGTAGTACTAGTAGTAGTAGTAGTAGTAGTAGTAGTAGTAGTAGTAGTAGTAGTAGTAGTAGTAGTAGTAGTAGTAGTAGTGGCAGTAGTGGCAGTAGTGGCAGTGGTGGCAGTAGTAGTAGTAGTAGTAGTAGCAGCAGCAGCAGCAGCAAATAAAGCGCCAGGAGCGGTTCAAACGCGGGGTTGTAGCATGGAAGTGTGCCTGGAATTCTACAGCTCACCTGAAAGCAGCTGCCATTGACATTCTGCTCGACGATCTGTATCCAGACAGTCGCGCAACGAGATACATCTACATTCTTATGCGGGCATATTAGGCCAACGCAGAGGTGACGACTGTGATAGTAGACTGACATAGTTGAGCTTTTCCCCTCTGCCTGCTGCGTACGAGTGAAAGCTTTCTGTGCCCACAACTACCCACATCTGCTTGATCTTTTTCCCTCATATCGCGGACGATGGGCATACATTGGCATACATCTGAATCACATCTTCCATGGCTTCGCGACCACCCCCCGATAATACAGCTCGGAATATTTCTCCCATGACTGGACTGTTTCGACTTTTGATGCATTTCCAATGTCCACTGATGAAGATGAACGAGGTGGATGCTCGACCCGGTTCCAAGTCGGGGAATGGGTTGTTGTGCCCATGCACCCATTGGCGCGAGGGTTGGTGCTTTACCCTCACAGGCACCTGAAGCCACACCCGTGGCAAAGGATGGGGGGTCTTCGCCCATACGTAAGGACGTAAGGTCAAGTCCCGTGCGAAGATTGCTAAGCGATCATACCGTCGTGCTCTTGCGAGGGCAGCTCGTGATGGTTCTGCTTGGTATAGACATCAGCGTCAAGCATGACTTCGTGGCCCTCCCGCCCAAGCCGACTTCGCCCCCAAGCCGTGGCAAGAGACTGGCAGTCTTGCAGTAAACGTAGTCGTCGTCGTAGTAGTAGTAGGAGTGGGAGTGGGTCGTCGTAGTCCCTGTCAGAGTAGTAAAGTAGGAGTAGCAGTCGCAGTAGCAGGAGCAGTAGCAGTAGCAGTAGCAGTAGCAGTAGCAGTAGCAGTAGCAGTAGCAGTAGGAGTAGCAGTAGGAGTAGCAGTAGTAGTAGTAGTAGTAGTAGTAGTAGTAGTAGTAGTAGTAGTAGTAGTAGTAGTAGTAGTAGCAATAGTAGCAATAGTAGCAGTAGTAGTAGCAGCAGTAGTAGTAGTAGCGGTAAGTAGCGGTAGTAGTAGTGGTAGCGATAGTGTGTGTGGTAGCAGTGGCAGTGGCAGTGGTAGTGGTCGAGGTGGTAGTAGTAGTAGCAGCAGCAGTAGTAGTAGTAGTAGTAGTAGTAGTAGTAGTAGTAGCGGTAAGCAGCGGTAGTGGTAGTGGTAGCGATAGTAGTAGTGGTAATGGTAGTGACAGTGGAATTGGTCGTTGTGGTGGTAGTAGTAGTAGTAGTGGTAGGAAGTAGTAGTAGTAGTAGTAGTAGTAGTAGTAGTAGTAGTAGTAGTAGTAGTAGTCGTAGGAGTAGGAGTAGTATGTGGTTGCCAGAGTGGTAGTGATAGTGGTACTGGTAGCAGCAGCAGTAGTCGTATTATTAGTCGTATAGTAGTAGTAGTAGTAGTAGTAGTAGTAGTAGTAGTAGTAGTAGTAGTAGTAGTAGTCGCAGTAGTAGTAGTAGTAGTAGTAGTAGTAGTAGTAGTAGTAGCAGGAGTAGTAGTAGTAGTAGTAGTAGTCGTCGAAGAAGAAGAAGAAGGCATTACTTTAGTAAGTGATACCTCTAGTAGCAGTGCGCATTAGTAGTAGTCATCGTGGTCCATCTCGCCGTCGTCTTGCTGGCGGGTGGCGGCGGTGGCGGTCGTTGAAGATTTAGTTCCTGTTGACGTTGCTTTTGATGCTGCTGTTGCTGCGCTTTTTTCTTGCCGCTGTTGTCGTTGTTGTTGCTGTTGCTGTTGCCACCTTCGTCGTCGTCGTCGCTCAAGCTCGTCTTCTTAGTGCGGGGCTCTGGATCGGCAGCGCGCAAGATCCGCTGCGAGCGCGTATTGGCAGTCCCAGCGGCGCGCTGGCCGTGGGTTCTGCGGCACGGGGGCAAGAACTTAGCTTCAAAGTGTCAGGTTTAGGTTCTATAGTAGTCTGTAGACTTGAGGCCTTGTTGGGTCTGGGTTGGCAGACTCTTCGTACTGTCAGTGCAGCCCACGGTGCGGTGATTTTAGCTGTTCTACAGATGACAAGGACTTGGGCTCCGGGGCTCCGGCTTCCAGGTGTGGAGCTTAAAGTACTTACGATTGTGCAGGTCGTGTATATCAGAGCCCAAGGTTGTGCGGGACCCGGTTCTGGAATTCCGCATGCTGCACAGGAAAACAAGAGCACAACTTAGTTTGGATTCCAGAACCATAAACTGGATGCAGGTTCTCAGACAAAGAAGCACACTAGCATCCATGCGATATTGAGAAACCTCAGCCTCTGTTTCAAAAAGCTGTTTTGGAACTTTCCATGGAGAAAGCTACTGGTCCAAACCTTGACGGTATAAAAAAACATCCTAGAGGCCTCAACTCAAACACCCCGCTCAAAAGCCAAAGCCGTGCCCATGACATGATCCGACTCATCAGCCGAAAGTCCTTAGCCTAAGCTCCGGTGTAGGTCTCTACATCTCTATACTATAAGCAGCCTAAGTCATGAAAGCTGTAGCAGATGGGTTACGAGAGCGCGCAGCTCAAAGCCGCAAACCTGCAGCCCGAAAGTTCTCCGGGAGCTTACAGCAATCGCGTCGGTGTAAGAGCTGCTACGGTTTGACTTTGGGAGTTCAAGAGTTCGGCCACATGTAGACCCGGCTTTTTGCTTCGCGCAAGCTCAAGGCGCGAGGCAGGGTCACTTGCCCATCCACGTCGTACCTGGACTCCTCATTGTAGTTTCTTTCTTTGGTCACCTGTTCCCTTGATACATGCGCCAACCAATGATCAAACACATGAAACAGGCAACTGCACAAAAACAAGTCCAGGTGAAACCTGTACAAGACCGCAGCCTACAGTAGCCTCAGAAACCAGTGGGACACGGTTCTGTGCGACACTCGAAGCAATTTCAGGATTAGGGTTCTATGGATCTTGCGGGCATGTCGCAGTAAAAGAAAAAACAGGTCACGCACAAGGGCAGGAGTCGGAACATAAGCAAACTTCGAGGATATCCGACCCAGATATCCCATGGCCATTCTCTCCCCCCCCCCCAACCGGCAACCTTGTGGTCCGACGCCCCAAATGTCTCCCGGGCGTCTCCACCTGCACTTCTTGCACCGTTCGTTCTCCTGCGCACAACTCCCAATACAGCCTGGCACGCACGCCTCGTGCTTGTTGTTATGCTTGGGACAGCCCACTCAGCAACATTGCTGGCTACGGGTGGCTGGAAAACAAATCTGGAACGTGTGTCCGCACATGAAGTTTGACTTGGCTGCGGGCGCACATCAAACATTGAAGCTTTGACATGCCTGAAACGGGTGCCCATACGTCGCACACATGTTGTAACATTTCTGCGTTCACACTGGGACTTCAGGTGAGGGGCTGTCGAAAATGCATGAAGCCTAAATTCCTGAACTCCTACCCCGAGTAATTCCAGAACTTTATGTGACCACTCAATGGGCTGAGACATAGGCTGCGGCGCCCTAGTGCCCCTTTGGCAAGCTGAACGGTCGCTTGAGGGATCCTGGTCGGGTGGCCTTCTGTATAGATGAAACGTTGCAAGTTAAATATGTTTGTGGGCGTAGGTGTGCAGGGAAATGCTGGTCGGGTATTGAGGTTCTGCGAGTTATGGGTCTGCTATTCCGAGGGCTGATGTAGAAGCCCATTGTGAGCTTCTGGTTTCTATCCCGCTCTTCAAGAACCAAAACAAGCCGGGCCCGGAACAGGCTATGACGTAATTGAGTGGGGGCAGAGAGGGATGGAAGCAGCACTTGTCGTACTGATAGTGGCAGCGACCGCCGAAGCTATGCAGCAGCAGCAGCAGCAGCAGTAGTAGCGGTAGCGGTAGCGGTAGCGGTAGTGGGAGTGGTAGTGGTAGTGGTAGCAGTATAGCAGTATAGCAGTATAGCAGTATAGCGGTATAGCAGTATAGCGGCATAGCGGTATAGCGGTAGTGCGGCAGCGGTAGCCGTAGCGGTAGTGGTAGTGGTGACAGTAGGAGCAGTCGGAGCAGCAGGATAGGAGAAGTAGCGGTAGCAGTAGCAGTGGGAGTCGGAGTAATTAGGAGTAGTAGGAGTAGCAGGAGTAGCAAGAGTAGCAGGAGTAGCAGGCGTAGCAGGAGTAGCAGTAGTAGTAGTAGTAGTAGTAGCAGTAGTAGTAGTAGTAGAGTAGTAGTAGTAGTAGCAGTGGTAGTAGTAGTAGTAGTAGCAGTAGTAGTAGTAGTAGTAGTAATAGTAGTAGTAGTAGTAGTAGTAGTAGTAGTAGTAGTAGTAGTAGTAGTAGTAGTAGTAGTAGTATTAGTCGTAGTAGCAGCAGTAGTGGAAGTAGTGGCAGTAGTGGCAGTAGTAGTTGTAGTAGTAGTAGTAGTAGTAGTAGTAGCAGTAGTAGTAGTAGTAGTAGTAGTAGTAGTAGTAGTAGCAGGAGTAGTAGTAGTAGTAGTAGTAGTAGTAGTAGTAGTAGTAGTAGTAGTAGTAGTAGTAGTAGTGGAAGTAGTGGCAGTAGTGGCAGTAGTGGCGGTAGTAGTAGTAGTAGCAGTAGTAGCAGTAGTAGCAGTAGTAGTAGTTAGTAGTAGTAGTAGTAGTAGTAGTAGTAGTAGTAGTAGTAGTAGTAGTAGTAGTAGCAGCAGTAGTAGTAGTAGTAGTAGTAATGGTAGTAGTAGTAGTAGTAGGAGTAGTAGTATTATTATTAGTCGTAGTAGTAGCAGTAGTGGAAGTAGTGGCAGTAGTGGCAGTAGTAGTTGTAGTAGTAGTAGTAGTAGTAGCAGCAGTAGTAGTAGTAGTAGCAGGAGTAGTAGTAGTAGTAGTAGTAGTAGTAGTAGTAATAGTAGTAGTAGTAGTAGTAGTAGTAGTAGTAGTAGTAGTAGTAGTAGAATTATTAGTCGTAGTAGTAGCAGTAGTGGAAGTAGTGGCAGTAGTGGCAGTAGTGGCAGTAGTGAGTGGCGGTAGTAGTAGTAGTAGTAGTAGTAGTAGTAGTAGTAGTAGTAGTAGTAGTAGTAGTTGCAGTAGTAGTAGCAGCCGTCATACACAGAGTATGTTTGGAATACGTAGCGCACATCGCTTTGTGTATCTAACCATCCAAATGCGCTTTGGACCGCTGGGATCCCCAGCAAAGTACAGCTCACAAACGGGGGGGTGTTTGTCAATGTGGCTGCCTTCCGACGTAGCTAGTCTCTTAGCTTGGTGTAATAGAACAAGCCCCCCATATCATCAAACTGCTGTCAGTCTCCGACTGACTCCGTTCTTCTCAGGACCATGTTGCACTTTGGGCGGAAACGGGATGTTACAGTACCGTCTCAGTCTCTGAGCACACTCGAGTATCTCCAAGCATTGCGCACCACCGCGTTTACCAATTCAAACCCTCATGACTCAAGTTATTCCCACACCGGCCGCGACCGCATGCTGTTGCTAAGCTACTACATGTAGAAGCTGTGCTCGATTACGGGCTACCCGCCTGGGGTTTGGGACGTAAATGATTGGTCCTTTCAGAACGGAGTTTCCAGCATCTTAAATCGACTGCTTTGCCCTGCTTGGGTGGAGCTTCCCCGCCGCCCTATAGACCCTATAGTTCCTATAAGACTCAGGAATTGGCTGAAGCTGTGCTCCGAGCTTCTCCGCAAAATCACTACTCTAGATTACACCCCGTACTCCGCATGCTGCTTCAGATTGCATTGGCTGCTATAGCCTGCTGGTTGACTACTGTGACAGCATTGGCACAGCAGCCCGAGCCAACCACACAAAAACTAGCGAAAGATGCTTGCAAGTCCCAGAGTGCGTACGCTGTTCTGGCCATCGGGCATCAGCTTATTCGAAGCCTAAACTCCCGCTCCCAAGCATCGGCCGTTCATCAGCAGGGTGGAACCATTGAGGACGCCATAGTCAAGAAGTGAGCGTCCATCCTCCAGCCGCTTGCCGATATAGGTCAGGTAGTAAGCATCGGCTGATGTCCTTGGTCTGCGAGTTCCCGCTTGTGCAGGTCTTTCAGTTCACTTCCCACTCTCCATGCAGCGACAGGGTCAGCAGAATACTGCAAAAGCTGTCGTCCTTGAACCGATTTGGGACTGAGGTGGAAATAGGCTTAATGTTGCGGAAATATGAGATTACGTGCTCAGGTTTTGCAGGAAAACTTCAGGGGTCAGCTTGTGGCCATCATCTTCGGAGCAAATGAACATCTACATAAATCTAACCCTATGTTCATTCTCAAGTTTGGCGAAGTTAGGCACTACGCGAACCTCTCAACAACAAGTTTGCGGCTTGACAAGGCTTGCACGTTCACGGAACATGGTCTTCCTGGTCATCCGCCCAGAATGCTGTCCGTCTTACGTCGCCGCCGGGACACGAACTGCAGCGCTAAAACAACCTAGATTCTTCGACATGTCCTTCGACTACACACCAATCTAACTTCGCCATGCTGCCTTCACTCTTGTTTGGGTCGACATCCTAACTACAGAGCTCATAGAAAAGGGTTACCGATCTGGACCGGGCCAAATTCGAAATCGTAGATGTTGTCCATGTGGTTCGAGTTGCTTTCTCTGTTTGTTGTTCTAGATTGCTTCTCGCTGCCTATAGAGGTTTCTCCAGTGCTTAAGCTCTCTAGTTTGTAAACTTTGTGTTGGTTGTTCCAGGATACGTGGCCGAACCGGTGCGGTTCGGCTTGTCGGCGAATCGCCAAAGCGTTGGCAGGGATCAGTTTTTTTCCACACAACAGTGTTCGCACGATCCTGGCCGCTGAGTGTGGGCCATAGTTCAGATCCATGCCGATGATTTCGCAAATTGTAAGTGTTCCCATCTCCACCATCCACTCGGTGGGGGAGGTCAGCAAATGTGGTTGGGCGCTGTACGTTCTTGCCCACTCCCTAATGGTATCCACGCCAAGCAGAAGGGCCTGGGCCAAAGCATATATGCATATGCATATGTACAAATGTATGTATGTATGTATGTATGTATATATTTATATGTATATATATATAGACACCAGTATGTATGGATATAGATATGTACATGTCTGTATGTGTATACATAGGTAGATACCAATGTATATATATATATATATACTTATACATGTGTATATCTATTGCTCTGAAATCTAGGTACAGGCTCCATTCTAGGTGGCGTGCAGAGGGATGGCAGGCGCAGCCAAGAGTCTGGGTTTTCGCACAAATCACGCGCTTCACGTCGGAAATGTGGGAATCCAGTCCCATTTGGATGATACGCGTCGTGTCGGACAGGTCCCTCCTTGCCGAACAGGATGGTTTCGGGAACCTAATATTCAATCTTGGGGTGGGCTCTCAAGGCTTTCGATCAGGTTGTGGGAAGGAGCATATGACAAGTGCATAATCCCAAACTCCGCCTCAGCACTGTATCCCCAAAATTCCTCAAAGCCCGACACATCCAGCGTAAATTCAACAGCCCACATGCCCTGCCAAACATGATCGGGAGCGCACAAAGATCTGGACATGGAGGCTCGAGCTGCTCTGAACAGCTGGGAGATCCTGGGCATCGAAGTTAAAGCTAAGCTATACTGCTTCTGATCAAAGCCAGAATACCTCTTTGAATACATTGAAGGCTTGGGCTTTGGGAACCTGCGGCAATACTTTCAACCGCGTCAGATTGGGCCGTCAATGACCGTCATGTGAAGAAGCAACTTGAGCGCGATAACTTACAAAACATGAGACTAGCAACAAACGTAAAGGTGCAAACAGGCCGCTACGTCGCTCGCAGGGGACTCCACTTCCATAAATTGTGCGCTGTGCCACTGCTCAAGCCTCACTTTGTCAAGCAAGCGGTGCAGCAGTTCGACTCGGACACAGCACAATGCATATCGCCGGCGCACTGTCATTATTGGCTCTATGCTAGCCTGAACTGCTCCGAGACGGGCATAGCCTAAAATCCGTAAGTACAAACTACCCAGGAAACCCAAGGCATCCGTATGCTACGCAATCCTCCTGGCATACAGAAAACACTGCCATGTAACCAATACGATGTGCCTGCGCTTGCATTAGCCAGGACAGAAGGAAAGGAGGTTGTGGGCCACAGTACGGTAACTAATTTGGCTTCCAAGCATGCGTTATAGAGTTGGGTTTGTCGGCCTTGGTCTTGCTGCAACCACAACGATGGCGATTATGATATGATGGTGATTGAGAGGGTCATGGCGTGTCGTGAGAATGAGCCTGGCGGTGCTGGTAAACATGTGCGCTGTAAAAGGTTTGAAAGACGGCGATTAAGAGCAGCAGTCGTCATGATGCTGCAAACGACAGTGCGAACGGCGACCGTGGCAATACGTCGCAGGGATGCTGCTGCAGCTGCCGCTTATGCTCTATCGTATCGTGGTGACGATGACGATGATGTTGAAGAAGAAGAAGAAGATGATGATGATACTGGCGGTGGCAATGCCTGTGGATGTGAAACGAAAATCATGCTTTAGATCGACATGTCATGACGATGATTATAGTAATAACAATGCTCAGGGTGATGCTTTTGGCTTCAGCGACGTTGTGAACGAAGTGGATGGTGTCGGAGGTCGAAGGTGGTTGTGGGGATTTGTGGGGTGTATTCAGGGTTTAAGTTTAGGGTTTGGATTTACAGCCTATGTCTCGGACAAAACCAACCAAATACGCAAGCAACCAAGCAAGCCCGCAAGCAGGCAAGAAAGAAACCCAACGCGCGCACATACACTGACACAGAGACGCAGAGACACCCAGACCCAGTCCAACACAGACACAAACACAGAAGACCCAGACCCTACGGCCAGACCGCCAGTCAGCCGAACAGCCAGATCAGATAGACCGACAGACCGACAGAGAGACAGACAGACAGACGGAAAGGCAGACAATTCACACAGACACACACACACACATACACACAGAAAGACAGAAACAAAGAACGAACGAAGGCAGGCAGGCAGGCAGGCACGCACGCAAACGAGCGAGCGCACACAAACAAACAATCACCTCACATCCTTGCAAACACCACACGACTGCCACCATCAACGTCATCATCAAAGGACAGCTCATTGATGACCTCCAGCATCGTCATCATCACCGCTACTATGCACAACAACAGCAACAGCAACCGCAGCTTCGTCATCACAAGCATCCATGCCGCCGTCGCCCTCAACAGCAAGCAGCCATCACCTGTTAGTCTTGTCGGTCTGCGGCTTGACGTCTGTGTCGAGAACATATACCAACCAATGTCAATCAACATGGCATTTCCACCGGGGGTACGGGAGATGAGCTATGCTCAACTGACGCCGCATGCAGGCCCACAGTTGCAACACTGTTCAAGAAGGAATGGCCTTGCATCAGCCCCGAGATTTCAATCTGCCCACGACCCTGGCCAGCCATAAGCCCTCGGCCCTCGACCCCAGCAAACAGGTGTGCCGAGGGACAGCTGGGCCACTTCCCAGTGCCAGCCTACGCTCCCCATTGCCTGCATTGAACAATTCGGTGTATGATTCGTGGTTCAAGCTAGTTCAAGGCTTTGGAATGGGACGCTTCTAGATTGGGAGTCTTCCAAAACCTAGCGACCCCATAGTTCACGAGTGGAATTCGGATTCAGGACGGACAGGTTCACGGTGTAATTACAAGATCTTGGTCTCCAATTCATATTGCGTCACATAAGCTCCCGAGGACATGGAGACGTCAACCATCTGTTCCATTCTCGCGGAAACACCGCAACTCTAAGCGCCATGATGCAAGTAGTGGTGCACTGCTCAACGTTGCATCATATTTCACTGCATGGTCGTTGCGATCCACGAGACCGACCTCGAAGAAGTCGAATAACACATCTTTCGGAACCGTTGCGTACACACGTGGCATCCAAGACCCCCGTCCAAGTCGAAACATCAATGCGACATTGCATCCCGAGCGCACAAAACCCTGGGCGGTACACTTCCAAGCCTCAACCGCTGAAAGATACAAAAACAAGAGGTTGAACGAAGGCTTTCCAGTGCGCCAATGACGCTCCTTGTGATGGCTGTTTATATGTTATAGATGCAGACTACGCACCAAGCCCTTACCGAAACACACAGTTCAGTCCTCCAAACGTCTTCGCTTTGGAGCATCCTGCAATTTGTTCTGAACGAGACCACTACCATTCGGAACTGCTCTGTTGATGCCTGACACTGCATTTCTCAGGACTCTAGGACGAGGACGCACATTGGCCTGAACGACTCTGCTCTCGTGTATCTCGCTCTCTTCCATCCATACGCTGCTGTGTGCGATTCTCCAACTTCATAGCTGAGCCTTTACTACTGGGCTTGCCTACGGGAAAAGCGAGAAGTAACGAGGAGAGGCTTCAAGGCTTTGTTGGGAGGATGGGGTGCAAATTTCACCAAACCCAAACCCTTACTCCCCCCGGGGGCTACTCTAAGCCTGCTGTTGAGACTACAGCGGTGCAAGTACAAGTAGTAGTAGTAGTAGTAGTAGTAGTAGTAGTAGTAGTAGCAGGAGTAGTAGTAGTAGTAGTAGTAGTAGTAGTAGTAGTAGTAGTAGTAGTAGTAGTAGTAGTAGTAGCAGTAGTAGTAGTAGTAGCAGTTGTAGTAGTAGTAGTAGTAGTAGCAGTAGTAGTAGTAGCAGCAGTTGTAGTATAGTCTACTACTACTACCACCACCACCACTGCTGCAATCTCACCGGCCCGAGCACTCCTCAAAATCTCGAGGATCGCGCAACCATCTGTCGTCGAAGGTTGGCTGCCGGCACAAGGCATCCATGGCCCACAGGGCGCCCACTGCTTCTGGTTATGCTGCGAAATCTGCGAGAACTGCTGTCAGTACTGCCAGAACTCTTCGTGCTCATTTTTGCTCAGCTTGCTAGAGCTACGTACTACTATTATGGAGTTGCTGCTTGCGGTGGTCGTTGGGACCAGTCTTCCACTGCCATGACTTCTTTTTTCGTTTTGACTGTCCAGTGCCGAATTTTCAATGAGCACTTTCAGGCAACCAGACCCTCAGATGGTGTAAGTTAACATTGTCTTTCCACAACATGGCAGGAGCCTTCGTCTATGGGACTTGGGAATGCAGATCCGTTCTGGGTGTGTCAGCATCAAGTTCTGGTCTATGTGGACAGTTATCGTCGCCATGAGATTCTGGGGCATGGTATTTCCCATCCGGGATATGTCGCTTCTGCTGCAATGGGTGGCTGGCAGAGCCAAACAACATGGCACAGATTGATATGGAAGAGATGTCGGAGCTTGAAAATTTGCAATCCAAAAGCTGAAAACCTAGGCCCGGCTCCTAGAGTACGAGACACCAAAACCTTTTAACCCAAAGCATTCGACCTGTACCATTGAGGCAAACACACATAGACCTAACCTAACAGCATCGTAGGACAAAACGATCCATGCAGAAAGTCGCGATTTTGGCATCCACAAGCGGCAAAACGGTAAACTGCATTCCAGCGCATCCGCGCCCCCCCCCAGTAAAGGTAATGTGAATCAGTCGATGGTCCGATGTCCCCGAGAGACCCATGATTGACACATCTTACAAGTTAGACGGGTTTGTCTTGGATCAAGGTTCGGTTCTAGGCTTTATAAAACGTGTTAGAACTGCACGCCGCGCTGTTGGACAGCAGAAAACCATAAAGTAGAAAAAACACAAAACATGCGACATAGTGTCACCGTATATTATGATACGGCATGATGTGAGATGAAAACAGTATAATGCGTGTAGATACACGTCCTGGATGCATTCGACATAGCGCACGGAAAGGCTAGCTGGAGAAATCTCACGCAGTACTGCTCACGAAAGCAGTGCCACAACAAACGCAGGCATCGCAACCTCGAATGAAAACAACGGATCTCGAAGCAAACCAGCCGAGTATGACGCCCTTTATGATTCGGTTCGAGCCAACGACTTTTTTGTAAAGTCTTAGGATTCCAAAACCTGCGAACAGGCTGACAGACCAAAATGCAAGCCCAAAGCCCGGCCTCTTGCCACGGGTTCGGGCGCCCTGAATTTCAGGTGAAGGCTTGTTTCTCTCAAGAGCTGGGAAGCTCCCGAATGGGAGCGCACACATGCACACACACACATGCACACATATGCGTGCACAGAAAACTATGTTGCAATAGCTGCCAGCAACAATCGGCGTTACAGGACAGGATGCTGCGGAGGTCTTATGATGGTCGGAATGGGGTCGGATTAGGTCCGGGCTTTCTTGGCTTTGGTGACAGCAGGATGTAAACTTTCAGCGCTGCCAGCTTCTGG